CCGTCAGCTTGGTTGCCATTCTAAGTTGTATAAAAAAAAAAAGATTTATTACCCTGTGGTTTCCTGTTGAGGTAGAACTCGAGCGTGCCCCGCCACATGTCGACCATGACGCCGATGATGGTCCCGCGGCAGAAGCCTGCCGAGTCCAGGGCGGTGGTCGCGTTGTGCCGCACCGCGCCCGTGTACGACAGCCCGTACGACTCGCCGTCCTGGCCCAGGAGCGACGTGAACTCGAACTGCGAGTCGGACACGCTCACTTTGTTCGTCCCTAGGCCTACCATCTGCAAGTTTATTTATACGGTTTAAAATTGGCCATTTTAAACAGCTGACGGCCTACCTGATTGAAACTGGTAAATATTAAATTTAGGTATCAATAAGATTATAGACTTCCCAAAATACACTGAAACGTGGTATCCCACATGCAGTGGCATTTCTAACGACTCAATTTTTTTTTAATGACATGAAAATATTTTAGTTACCCATATTTAAGATAGGGCAAAAGAAGTTTTTGGTACGGCATAAGCCATAATTAAGTGACTTTGAAAAAGCGATCTGTCTAATTGGGTATTGGGTCTTTTAAGGTAGGGCATTGCCCCTCAACGTCCCCCCCCCCCCTTACGCTAGTTACGGCCATTACTATCGGTATACGCTGACAATGTGCTAATGAGGGATGACAAATAAGAAAAAAGCAGGTCTTTTTTTATTTTTTTAAAAAGTGAAAATGAAGTTAAGACCTATGATGGCGCACCAGAGACCGATGATGGGTGAGGACGAAAGTAGGTCAGTTAGTCCATCGTGACGGATTCCACAAGAATGAAGTACGTTAGGAACCGTGTGAAAGACGACCTGATAGGGTATATTGATATAAATGGGGCTGTTAAATCCCATTATTAACAATCCGTTCCCCCCCCACAAGAAAACAGGTCAGTCAGGGGAAACCACGTAGAAGTCGACCTGACAAGGTATACTGCTAGCATTTGCGCTGCTAGACCCCATTAGCTAAAATCAAAGTCTTTGATACCAGGCTAGCTCATTCGTCATACTCGTGAACGGTTGGTACTGATTATTCAAAAATAGTAACTGTCACGTTTCTTGCTAATTCTTTTCAACAAACTGCTATCTTCCGAACTTAGCGATAAAACATTAAAAACATCATAATAAAGTTGTGATTGAATTTATGTTTTTTTTTACAACACAGGAGGCAAACGAGCACACGGCTCACCTGGTGGTAAGTGACTACCGCCGCCCATGATCACCCACAACACTAAAGGCATTGCAGGTGTGCTGCCGGCCTTTTAAAAAGGAATATGCTCTTTTCTTAAAGGTTACGTTGTCGTATCGGTTCGGAAATACTGCTGTTAAAAGTTGATTCCAAAGAGTGGTTGTGCGTGGGAGAAAGTGCCTTGAAAAACGCACGGTGGAGTACCGCCACACGTCCAGATGGTTGGGATGATATTTTAGTTTATGGCGGGTAGTACGATGGTGAAAATCAGCAGCAGGTATCAATCCGAACAATTCCTCCTAAATTTAAAATTATTTCTAATTTTTCTAGTTATTTTAAAATATTATGACGAGTATGGTACGATGATAAAACTGCTTTTTATTATTATACCAGCTGTTGACTGTTATCTTGCTGATACAAAGGCCTCTCTCATAAAGTGGGAGTTTGCCAGTAGTTGCCACGCAGGGCAGGTGGGTCAACAACCGCAGTTGGGGGTCGAGGGGGGAGTGTTAGTAATGCGGACTACCAGTCCTATTGCTAGCAATATACCTCGTCAGGTCGACGCTCCACGTGGTCCCCCTGGAAACCACCGTGCTGTATTCCAGGTGTATTCATCGCGGTAGGCTAACTGACCCGCCTTTTCAATCTCACCTATTATCTATCTCTGGTGCCCTGAACAGCGTATACCGTTAGCACAGGTGGGGTTACCATTCCATTATCATCCAATTAAAAAAAAAACAATCGCAGTTAGATTTTGGAAATGATTCAATTCGTTTCGATTGTTTCGTTCGTTCTAGCTACAAATGGCAGCATTCTTGACATTGAAATAGGAGGCAAGTTGCCAAAAAACATATTAGTGTAGAAAATTGTACACAAAACAATCTAGGTATTATTATTTTGCATATAATTATATAACGTACATACATATACATCACGCCTGTCTCCATTGGGATAGGCAGTAACTATTAATTGTAATAAATACTAGACCATTCTGACAAATATTCTAGATTAAAGATTCTAAAAAAAAACATTGTTTTTTTATTTATAATTTAAGGAAAATAAAGCATAGGAATCATAAAACAAACCCATAATTTAAAATTAACCATCGACGATCAAACAGCCATGCCAACACAACTGCAACACAGTGAAAACACAAATGGGACAGAAGTGCTCAAGCAAAGGACTTTTATACAATATCTCCCTTTGTTAATTATGAATTAGTATCAGTTAAAGAAATTAACTTAAATAAGAATAATAATAATGACAAAGTCAAATTTACATAAATAGTATTAAAGGATTATTAATAATATTTATTTATTTATTTATAAAAGACACACCAACAATATGCTCACAACAATTAAGCAGACAATGTACAATGATATAAGTAAGTAAAAAGTGAAAAACTATTATTAAAAATGCTTAAATCTAAGTTTACTTGAATGAAAACATCTCTCTCCTTCCTACCAAGCTTAAGGCCATGTGAACACATCAATTAAAGATGTATACAGCTCTCACAGATAAGCGTCAATGTATACTAACTAACAATTATACAATTAGAGAAGACCCAATTACCAATCCATATTATTAATAAGCCTAGTAAACTGCAATAAAGAATTACCAAAGATGTCGATATCACGGTCAACATTTACGGCTTTATTATACGATGATAACATTCTGTTGAGGGGAGAATTGGATCATATATAATTAATAACCCATTTCTACTCCTGACCAAATCACAAATTGAACAAATGTATAAATGTTTTTATCACAACTGTTAAAATCAATTTGATACAATTTTGCTTTTGTAACCAAAATAATTCTAAAAAATATTATTTCACCTACTATTCTCTTATCAAGACATGCCATATAAAATTTTCATAATGGTCTTTTCAATAAATTTCTTATTTATAATGACTAGTTGCAATTTTGTTAATTAGTAAAATTACAATATTTTACATAAAGTATTTTATACATATATACTTATATTTTATACTTACAATATCAGTGCCATATGTCTCGGTCAACATTTTCACCTCCCAATAGTAATGGTGATTGTGTAACAACGGTGTGTCTCCCTTGACAGCCGCTGTGCCCGAGCTGTAGAATGGATGGAAGGTGACCTGCTTCTGGTCATCGCTGACCACAACTCGACTCGGGCTTCTCTCATCTGGCTGCTGCCATTTCCACTGGCTTTCTAGAGTAAAATAAAAAAGAACAAACTAATCAGAATGGTAAACACTGATAACGGAAAAACTAAAATAGTCCAAATAGTGATAGTATGCTTGCCTGTATTATAATATCACAATGCTGATGTACATACCTATTATATTCGTGTATTATATATAATTTATATCTATCTATTTATATTTATTTACTTATATATATTTTTATTTATACCTATCAGTCTTTTGAATTGTAAAGACATTTTATTTATTTTTAACTATAACATTTAAGTCCATTGGTACACATGTGTGACTGTAACTACTAATGAACTGTCAGTTTTCTCATATTGGGTTTGCTGGAAGAAATCTCTTTTGGAGATAAGCTCGCCTTTGTACACTATTATGTTTATTTTTCCATTTCAATACCTTTTGAATTAAAGTTAATTTAAATAAAGAATATACTGTAACCACAGCAGGGTTAGAATTTCATTATCACCCATTGGAATTGGAAAACCAACCATTAGGGATATACGATATAAGCATATTTATTTTAATATTATTATTAAAAGAGTGGCTTATTGAGAAATGTTTTTATAATTTGAAAGAATATTCTAATAACAAATCATAGAAAAAGGACATTAAAATAGTTTATTGTAATTGTTAATTGTAGTTGTGACCATTTTGTATTGTTATGGCACACGCATAAAAGAAAAATTGTATTTAGCTTTATGTATTTTTTTTAATCATAAATTAATAAATTAATGTTATATACAGATATAATGTTATCTCGCTTTTTATGTATATCTGTAAATGTTGTAATTTGTGTGCTGTAAGTAATGCAAATAAATTATCTATCTATCTATCTAATTTATTTTGATTATTTGTAATGAAACTATGTATTGTATTTTTTTATAATTTTAATATTGTATGGCCTGTAGCGGGTAAACTGTTTTGTACATATTACCTACCTATCAACTTGTAATTACCACAATATGCCCAATAAAGAATACACTGATTAATTATTAACAAGTGCCACACAATCACACCAAATGCCTGATCCTCAATCTGTCCAGTATTATGAGGAATAGGCAACAAACATTTGGGTGCATGTTGTACTGTACTGTAACATTCTGACCACAGCCAATTTAAAAATGCTCATTGCCTAAATAAATTTATTTATTTACATATCAGAATTCCTTATTGGTATTCTACACTACCTTTTACATATGACTTTATCCCTGTTTATTAAAAAATATATCTCTATTTCATATAGTATATGTAAACTAAATTTTATAAGGATGGGATAAGCCATTAAGACACTAAGAGGTAATAAACTCACTTCCACATTTATAATACATTACAATGTTTAGAAAAAATACAAATATAATAATAATATACTTATTTAGAGATATTTTCAGAGACGTTTCTTACTATAAAACATAAACTACTGTTACATATAATTTAAATATGTACTTATTTAATAATATAAATTTAGTTATTCTATATATTGTGTACATTTTTTTTTTTGCTTAGTTTTTAACTCTGTGACTCCTATATGACTATTCATAAAAATTGTAACCTGTAATTGTTTATAAACAAATTTTTAATCATTGATCAGCTGTTACAACGGAAATGTCATTGAACTTTATCATCTATGTCAAAGGAATGATATCGTTTAAAATGTCTTTAATTGGTAAATGGTGTTATCAAGTAATACTTTGTACGCACCATCATTGTCTTCCCCACAGGAGCATACGTTTAAATGTTTCCATGTCATAGGACCGCGCTTGCTCCAACATTCACAATAAGGTTTTGCGTGGCGTGCTGATCCTCCGTTTTGTTTTGGTCCAGGAGGTATAATAAACATTTTGGCACTTATTAATTTTTTTTACTATTATAATAAACGCATTGATCACAAAATTGACAGCAGCCGCACCGAAAATTATTATTAAATATATCACTAAACAACAAAAAAATGTATATAGAAAATATATAGAAAAATAACTAACTGAAGTTAACAGTGTTCGTTTATATAGCTTTCACGGTCGAATTCGTTCAAAAACAAACTAATGTCTAATTCTTAAAAAAAGAATTTATTTTATTATACTTCATTTATATTTATAAGCTTATAAATATACTTATATCATAAATAGTCTGATAATGCATCTTTTAGAGATAAAGTTAGTTAATTTAGGAAATATATACAATTATTATATATAAGAATTTAACTGAAGTACTGAACAAAACAAAACTGAAGTAAGCAACGACATCGAATGGTTGCGACAGTTGCCGAACTTTCCGGAAATACTAGCAATCTCTCAACAGCGGCAAGTTTTAAACAATTGGAAACATTTCAAAATATTATTTGCTTCTTGTAGTAAGAGATGGTATGATTTTAAATATGAATACACATATTATGTCGACAAGATAAATGTATTTAAGTAAAATATACTTACATTTATATAACTCTGAATGATACTTGAGTTTTTCTGAATAGTATGCATTGCCTTCAACATTAAAAAAGTATGTATTGATTTTTCGCCAAATTTTATAGTTGGCATTACTGACTGTTTTGATTTGCGCCGATTTGTTCTTCGCGCGCATCACACCCCGCCCACAAATGGCTGTCAACTATCTTATAGAAATATATTTTCTTGTAGAATTCTAAAATAATTAGTTCTTTTTAAATATACAGTAAATAAATAATATAAACTGTAAAAATATTTATATAATATAATTGTATAAATGTGTCCAAATTAAGCTGTGCTTATTATTTTGCGGTATATAGTGAAAATATTTTTTTTAATTAATTATTACTGTTTATGTAATTATTCTAATATAAATATGTAAATATAGACACACACACACATTTCTACTTCTAAAGGTATTTTTTCAATATTTCAAATTAAATTCAACTTTAAATAATTGTGTTCACAATTTTTTTTTGTTTTAATTCTAATAAAATATTAAAAACGAATTAATATAATCAATCGACCCTTCATAAATTATTTTATCTACAGAGGTGATTATATGCCAATGGTTTTAAACAGACGTTGGGCATAATAGCGGTACATATCGCTGGCAGCTAATTCAAAAGTGACGGCTCAGTGTACAAGTTCCGATGCATTTCTGGATAGATAAACGCAGCCAGTGCGCCTATAGCGGTCGTCACCGTGTACCTTCCTCACTTTCTGCTGGTATGTATTTTTTTCCGAGTTGTGACCATTATTCTGCTTCAATTACGGTTTTATTAAATTTATTAACATTTGCCCGCGATTTTATACGTGTGACCAGATTTTAATCCAGCAACTTAAGAGTAACTCTGAAAATCACATTTAATTTGATACAGTAGATTTTGCATAAAGGTAGAGCAATTAAATTTGTCAGCCAGTTAACTCACCTTGATTAAATACACCTGGAATTCAGCACGATGGTTTTCACGAGGACGCATGTTAAGGTCGACCTGACGTTATATTGCTAGTAACGGGACTGGTAGTCCGCATTACTAACAATCCCCCTGGAAACCATTGTGAACAATTCTTGTTGAATTCGTCACGGTTAACTGACCTGTATTATCACCCATTAAAAAAAAATAGCCATCCCTTAAATAATATGGCTTTGCAATATACTAAAATTCCAGATAGTTTATAATATGTATATTGATAACGGCACATACGTAGCTTCAACCTACCAATGCCTAGGCCCAGGGATAACAGGAATGTAGTTTGTTTTGTCTGTGGCGTAGGCGTGGGGCGGTCGCGAGGCCGCGTGTGCGCGGGCGGCACGGGCGGCGTGGGCGGCGCGGGCCGCAAGGGCATGGCGGCGCCCGTGCACCGCTTCGCGGCCGTCGACTGCCCGCCGCGCCGGCCGCACCGCGCCGCCAGGCACTCCAGGTGATGCACTCGAATTATTTACTTACCAAGTAATTTAGCTAATGAACTGTTGTGATATTGTGCCAAGAATCTCAAATAGATAAGCGTATGGTCGCAGTCAAACAGCACAAAAAAAACTGTACGTTTGTATTGTGTATTCGCATAACATAATTATCAGAGGGAGACTTTGTACATACCCGAGGAAAACTTTATACAAAAATAGTTTGTTTAGGTACCTCTGTTCCATTCGTGTTTTTACCGTGAAACAGTTGTGTTTCCATGGTTGTGTTTCAGTTTGAAGGGTTGGGATATGGCAGTGAATTTACAGAGTACAGAGGAATAACACCTAAGACCTCAGGAATGGCAACGCATGGAGGGTATAATAACCAAAACAGGCAACGGCTACCACTTTCCATTAGGTGGGCATTCAACTTGTTTGTTGCATAAAAAAGCAGTTATGTGCCTCAGAGCTGAATGCACAAATCAGATTTATGAAACAAACCTAATCGTTTGAAGTACCGCGTTTTTGATTCACTGTTCACCCCAAAGGTTGACTGGTAGAGAATGCTACTAGCATTAAGTCCGCCTATTGTACCATATTTTCTGTAGGTCAATAAAATTATTAAAAAAAAAGGTCTTGCAGTATCTACTAAGATTATTTAAAAAAAAAGAAAAAAAACTAGCACAAGTAAATCACACAATACTTTTTTTTAAATTGAATACTTTTACTTCATATTCACTGTATCATATCCATATGTAATCAGTGGTCAATGTAAGCCTGGATTGATGGTTGATATTCATGTTTGTTTACATTATCCAGGCCTCCACCGATGCCTGCGGTACATTCCTCGCGGCGTCAGCACGAAGAGCCAAGTCTCTATGTGGAGATACCACCTGAGCCTCCACAGCCGACCATTGCCAGCCTGGCGGCAGCTCGCAGCGTTACACCCGACACCCTACTACGTACGGCAGCTTTAGGACTTCACCACTCGCCCATGATGGCCCCGCATCTCAAATTCGGGATGCTGGTGTCCTTTGCATTGGCTACTGTCTTCCTGGCTGGTGCCAAGTATTACTTCGATCGTCAGGTCAGTGTTATCCACCAATCGGATTTAACGAAATAGTCATTTCTGTGGTACTGCGCCGACATTAGTCCACATTCGCGAACACGACAATTGTTCCAAATTTGAATTTATCATTATTTTCTCCAAAAGAGATAAAAGACAGAGACTTTTTTTTTGATGGGTGAAAATGGAATAGTAATTTCGCCTGCGCTATCCATATGCAGTGGCGGAGCACCAGTGAAGGGTCATTGATGAGAATGAAAACAGGCCAGTTAGTCTATTATGATGAATTCATCAGGAATTAACCATGATAGTTTTCAGGGGGAACCGCGAGGAGGCCGAGTTGGTTGGGTATATTGCTAGCAATGGCATTTTTAGTCTTTATTACCAACAATTCCTTTGCCCCTAAAGGCAAAGTATGCGAGTATAGAGCGGATGTGTGAGTGTCCCGTGTGGGCGCAGATGGCGCGCGAGCGCGTGGGCGGCGGCGGCGGCGGCGGCGCGGGCGCGCGAGGGCGGCGGCGAGGTGGGCGTGGTGTGCGCCACCGTGGCGTGCGTGTGCGGCGTGGGCTGTGCGCTGTCGCTGTGCCGCGCGCGCCCGCCGCCCGCGCTGCCGCCCGACCGCGTCTCCTCCACCGCGCAGCGCGACCGCCCGGTCAGTACTGCGTGCTGTAGTGTCTGTGTCTGTGTCTGTGTCTGTGTGTGTGTGTCACGTGCAGTGCGTGTGCGTGTGCGGCGTGGGCTGTGCGCTGTCGCTGTGCAGCGTATGATGCATAAACGCTCGAGGGTTTATGTGTGTGTGTGCGCGCTCGAGGAGTTAATCGATAACATTTTTTTTTTATTGTAATTACCAATATTTCGCTAGTAGTACATAGTTAATTTATTTTACTTTTTCATGACATTCGAAGTAGATTTAATATTTTATAAAATGAGATAAAAAATATAAAAGTATGTACATAGTGACGTGTATAAGCAAAAGTAATGTTCAGAATACATGAGTAAAATATATTTTTGCAGCGGCCACCGTCGGAGCCGTCGGATGACATCTCGCTGGCGAGCTGCTGGCGCCCGAGCGCGCGGCGGCGGAGCGGCCCGGCGCGGCCGGCGCCGGCGGGGAGGCGCCGCCGCCATACAACATCGCGGTACTCGCCATACATTTTTTTTATACAACTTAGAATGGCAAACAAGCTGACGGCCCACCTGATGGAAAGTGGTAACCGTTACCTATAGACATGAGCAGTACCGTGGACATAACAGTATACTGTTTCGTCCATAATACCCCCCCGTGCGTTGCCACTCCTGAGGACTCAGGTGTTATTCCTCTGTATCCAGTAAATTCACGCCATTTCTTTCCTTTGTTTTTTTTTTTCAATAAACAGCTTTCTATTTGCAAGTCAGTTCGAATAAAACCTTTTATTAGTTACCTCCTTGGTAGCCATGTTTCGAAGTAAAAGGTCATTCCATTTTTAAATTACAGGACAGATATGAGTTTACATAGTAATTATCTGGCTTGCAAATGGAAAGCTGTTTATTGAAAAAAAAAAAAAAAAAACAAAGGAACATTATGGCACGTGAAAAATTATTATTGTTCGTTATTCGTCATTGAACTTAAAAAGTAAAATTGTGCTTTTGAGTTCCGCGCATTGTTTGAGAAAAGTACTATACAAGACTTGGCTACAACAAGGCATTGATGGACTCATGTATGTGTGCCTCGGCTACGCCTCGGCCCACATTTGCACGTTCGTTCATCAATGGCTCAGTTGCTGGCCGCTGCAGTAATGTACTATTCCTGTGATATCGTTTATAAAACATTTGTAACAATTTTCAACTGTTTATATATTTATTGTTTTATATTTAAAACCTAATACTTAGATATGGGTAATTTTGTGACTCATTCGCGTAATGTCCATACTACTCGCATGTCTCATTGTATCTCACTGTGATAAATTGTGAAGAGAAAATAAATCTATTTATTATTATTATTATACAAGAAAATCTAATTGTGTTCACTTAAACCAAATAACGCTTTTAAACGGAAACATAATTAGAATGTTTTTTTAACTCCCATTAAACTACTATAGGCCATTAGCGTGTACATAAATGATCCTGTTTATCTTTTCACTCTAACAATCAAGGTACTGTTTTCTTTTTTTTTTTTTTTTTGCAACCTATATCTTTTTATCCAAGGTGCTGATGCCGGCGCGTGAATCACCTCCGCCACCTGCGTACAGTGCGCTCAGCTAGCTACCAGCTCCGCCGCCGGCGCCTCAAGAATTCATCATATAGGGGGCGCGTACACGGTCAGTCACTTTTCTCCACGAACACTAATGAAATGTGATCATAAATTCGCCTGCACGGCAACGAACTTTATAACATTCCGAGCACAATTTAGTGCGGATTTTATATCAATCGGCGAAGAAAAAAAATATTTTTTTTCAAATTTAGAACACCGAATTATTCTTAGTGCAAGGGTTTTAAAAGTTAAAGGCGCCTCGCGTGGGGCTATGAACACCCACGAAGGAAGACGCGAGCCATCTATGTGGTAAGGCGTATAGGTCTAACATTAGAATTTAAAATTGGATACAAATCTGTGTATATTTTTCATAAAACCTATAACTTTGGAAACCACCGCGCTGGTGAATTTTGGAGTTACGAAACAAACAATATTGTATTGTATCCTTCTTGAAATTAAGTAGAGAGTCAGTACAATTATTTTAGCTCCTTACTTGCGTATTCATCCGCTTGTTTGGTAACTCCAAGTTACATTAGTCTTAAGGCAAATTTACACATAAAAATGTTACGAATAATCGTGGAATTCGTAACTTAGCGCGCGTTTCGTTGGTAACTTATATATTTATTAAATAATAAAAAAAAAACAAATGTTACACTGACCAATTTTAATTATTTTTACATTTTTACAAATGTACGTACAATATTTGATTGGTTTGGTCGTTAATTATTATAAAATTAAACATAGCCTTTTTTTTTCTTTGATTTTGAAAATAACTATAAATATGATAATTATAGTATGTTTAACTAACTGATCGTTTAGTTAATCTTAATTCCGTGTCTATATACTCGTTTTAGTTAGTCTTAATTAGTAATCTAATTGTCTAATTAATATTAATGCTAACTAAAACGAGAATAATAAAATAACCAGTGTTAACTGTATTTTTTGTATTAATTTCATTTGATATGTAGATCTGATTGGTGTCTTATCGCTAGATACAAGTCCAGTGTTAAACAACCAGTGATTAAGCAGAAATTAAAATAATTAATATAGCAACTTTAGTTTTTGAATCCATTTCCAGTCACAATTTATTGCTAATCACTTTTTACATAATTTTTTTTGTCTATCACGAATTAATTACAAGGTAATTAGCCTCAGACGAGTTGGATGCTTAGTTGTGCATAGAATGGTCAACTAGATGTTTTGAAATCTTCCAAATTTGAGAAATTGAAATGTTATTTTGAAAATTTTGCCTGTAAATTATGAGATGAATGTGCTGTGTAAAGTTGGGATCGTGGTGGTACCGGTATTATGTTATAAGTAATAAGCTTACAATTTGAAACCTGTAGACAGAATTGGTTCCAATAAATTTGACCCTTATGACCTTGTATTTCTCCATAACCACATCATGGTTATGTGTGAGCGGGATGCAGAATGGAGCGCGGGTGTTTAATATTTTTACGTTTAATTCATCAACTGGGGTAAAAGCGAGGTGGAAGACACGCGAGATGTTCATATAAGTTAAAATTTGATTTTTGTGTTCACTGCGTAAACTCCACTTGGTTTGCTGTTTGTGTTTCCAACAACTAGGTTTTTTTTTTTATTTAAAATCTATAATAACATATTTTTATTTAACAAATTGACGCGCATCGGACAGTCAAGTGTGAGTGTTACTTGTATGTACCTACAGGGAATTGAATGCGTTCTGAAATCTTCCGAATTTTGAGTAATTGAATGTCATTGAATATTCTCACGAGTGAATCTTGAGAGCATTGTTGTGTGGACCGTGATGGTACCAGGGTTGCGTTCCGATCAATAATTTTTAACTACCAACTATTTTAATATTTATGTATTAAAAAAAAATATATCGGTCGGAATATAAATATATTTTGCTTGTGACTGTATCATAATATAAAGTTTAGATATTTTTGTTGTAATAAAGACTTAGATAGAATATTATGTAAGCAATGATGCTGATTTTGATACAAAATCATAGACAAAAAAGTCTTTAATAAGTATTTTTATTTAGGTCACTTTGTACCATAATCCAAAAGGCTTTATTTTAAAAATATTAAAATTTTTTTTTCTTTACAGTATTAGGTGTCAGAATCAGCATCATTGTATCATTTTGTTATTATAATTGATTAATAAATAGATATAGAATTAATTTCGATGCGACCTATTGAAGTGTAGATAAGCGCCTCAGGTCGCCACGTCCTGTGATAGCGTGTTACGTTCAACACACTTGGATAAAACGATAATTAATTTATTTTTATTACAGGCAACACGATGGTCCATATCATGTTAGTTACATTTGTTTATTATAAATAATATATATGTTTTTATATTATATTAAATGTTATTTTAATTATAATTAGGACTTTATCAACGAATAACAATAGGAGGATTTTTTTTATGATAATTAAATAATTGCAATAGTGCATTACATTTCATATAGCAACACACATGTTACATTCTACATTTTTGTTATGTTATAAGTAATTGAATTGCTATATATATATATATGATATGTATATGTATGTGTAATATGCCATTGGTCGCATCGAATGTTTCCAATTTATAATTTTGTATATATCAATAAACACGGTGTTCATTATTCAACAAAATATTTTAGATATATATAATCAATAGTTTTGTATTGGATTTATTGCAAAGGAGCATAATTTTAAAAAACCCCATAATATTACATTTATGTATATGTATAAAATGTTAGTTTAGCATGTATACATAACATAGTATGTCGTCCAGTGTATACTCGTACTAGTGTAGGGTAGCGTGGCCTGTACACAACAGCCGGATGATTATTTTATAGGGAGAATAAACTAGCGGCACGATTTTGGTATGGCTTTTTCAACTTACAATCCAATCAAAAGTTCTTAATTCGATTGAAATTGATTTAATTTAATTCCGCTTTTTTATGTATCTTAGAATGGCAAACATGCTGCTCAACTGTTGGAAAGTGGTAACAGTTCCCTATAGGCATGAGCAGTACCATTGATATATCAGAGTGTACTCTTTCGTCCATGATACCCCCCATACGTTGCCATTCCTGAGGATTCGGGTGTTATTCCTCTGTATCCTGTAAATTCACTGCCATATCCCTTGAAATCGAAACACAGCCATGCAAATAACTGTGTCACGGTAGAAACACGAGTGGGACAGAGGTGCCCACGCAAACGACTATTGTACAAAGTCTCCCTCTCGTACCTTTGTGCTTTGTAGACCGATTTGGAAAATTCTTTTTTAATTGACCCCATATAATAATTGGGATAAGAGATGAAGATGATAACTGATCCTTATGACCGGATAAACGTTTAGAAAGCCATCGCATCATGCCGCAAGTTTGACGGTTGGTGTATACAGACTGAAAATATACAAGTCTGTGTATAATATATCCATTGGCTATGTCTAGTACAAACATAACATCGCATATACAGGGTGGTGTCAAAATCATTAGCATCCCTTTAAACGAGTGTTTTACAAATATAACAGAACTTTTTTCACATTGTAATTTGATTTGAAAAATAATGGCGGATTTAATTATTTTTTTTCTCGATTTTCGACCATTATCTTTGTGAAAAACGTCTAGTCTCACAGGTAGAACTCTCTATTACTTAAATTGGTGCTAATCATTTTAATTTCGCTTCTATATAATGTAACAGAAAGAGTGAAATCATCTAGTGATAATATTCGAGAAGCTGTACAAGTTTCACTAAAGAATACAGATTCAAATATGAAAATAAATAGATCATGCGATTACGAGGTTAGTTCATAATTCAGCCAGTACGTCTATAGGTTTATATTCTGTGAAAAAGAGTTCAGTTTTATGAATACTGTCACTGCGTTTCGGATTGTTATACTATTCTATTACACCTTGATTATTGTGATTATTTTAAAACTATACTAATATGTGTCTAATTAAGAGAGCGCTTCCCGTAAGACTGGCAAGTAGTCTCTGTTTCGAAAAAGAAATTCAAATTAACCATTTTCAAATAGGTTCCATTTTAAACGTCACCAATTCATATTTGGAATAGAGTCTATGTGAGAGAGACAGACAGAGTGTGTGCGTCTAAGAGAGAGTGTATATTTGGAGAAATGCATACGCAGTTGACTTACAGAATAAGATTTAGAGTTTTAAAACCTGACTCGCAAATAATGTTGAACGACGACACTTTTATGTACATAAACTATAAATGCTTGAGTATAATTGTTCGGATAAAATAAACTCCAAAAGACGCTAGTTTCCCGCCAAAATTTTGTTAGATTTCCTCAAACATGTGATTAAGGTGACGATCTCTTATTCGATGTTTGAAATCGAATAACGAATTCGGCTTTTCTATTGATATGTTACGATACATTGACGATTGATTAAAGGATTTCCTACTCTTTGATCCATCGACAAGATAATCACGATATTATGTAATACCCACCTTTTTTTTTAATGGGTGATAATGGAATGGTAACCCCACCAGCGCTATCGGTATACACCGGCGGAGCACCAGTGAAGGATGATAGGTGAGGATGAAGCAAGTCAGTTAGCCCATCGTGACAAATTCAATAAGAATTGTTCACGATGGTTTCCAGGGAGAACCACGTGGAGGTCGACCTAATAGGGTATATTGCTAACAATAGGGGTGTCAATCACCATTCCTAACAATCCCTTTCCCCCCAAAATATCCCACCTTTAGGAAGTACTAATATAGGCATTAATAGTTAGTGAAGGATTTACAAGATATGTTGTTGTCTGTACTAGTCATTTCTATTTACATTCTATGATCTCATAGATTTTAATTTTGTATGGAACTTTCTCGCAATTTATTGTACCTATACACTCGTTAATAACCACCGTATTTTTATCTCTCATTCACGCTGTGCTCGTCTGAAAAGGACAGAGCACGGGATAAACAATATGGCAAACGCACAAATGAGATTGTACTGTCACTATGTTTACTCCTAATTGTTTACTGGTCATGATTTTGTTGTGTGTTATAAAGTGCCAAAAATATGTGTGTGTTTAATAATAAATAATTAATTGTACAACCTCCAATCATAAGGCACGTAGAAATTCGATCTCTTATTGATAATTATGTAATTTTAATTATTGAGTTTAGAATATGACAAATGACCTCTTTGACAATTGCTGACTTTATGACATTAATGTATCAAACCCCCCCTCCCCCCCCCCACCATTCTTGAGGACTCCACCCTTCAAACCGAAACACAGCCATGCAAACAACTGTTTCACGGTAGAAACACGAATGGGACAGAGGTACCCAAACAATCGACTTTTGTACAAAGTCTCCCTCTCGTACCTTTGTGCTTTGTAGTATATATATATATATATATATATATATATATATATATATATATATATATATATATATATATATATATATATAGCTTACTTTTTATAAATACTGATAGACTTAAATACTTGTTTTTTCATATGTGGCGTTATTTTTTAGACCGATTTTAGGGATTCTTCACTAGTACCACGCTAGAAAGCAAGGTGTATGAACTAACTGGTATTGTGACTCGTGTTATATTATTTTGTTATATAAATCATGATCAGTAAACGACAGTTCTTCCCTAGTCTTCTAATATAAGCATCGTACTCGAGTACCTAGTCATACACGTATATATATATATATATATATATATATATATATATATATATATAAATTGATTTGTTTGTATAGTGCGGCGCGGCGGCGTGCGGCCGCGCGGGCTCGTCACACTTTTGTAATGACGCTTGGTCGGAAATAAAAATATTGTAACTGTCGCGTGTCGTTTTATTTTCTATATGTAAATATATGGACCTCATTATTTTAATAGCTTACGCCGGATCTCCATTATAATGCCAGTCTCCGTTGGTTCCCAGTCAAATATTGTTACGTAAGTATGGAGTGAAATCTATTCTTAGAATCAATATGAACAGAAGTTCTACAACCTTCCGTAATCCAAAACTATAAATACTACTCGCACACACGCGCGCACGCGCACTCTCACTCGCGCACACACACACACAGAGAGAGACACATACATACAGACACACAAAGAGAGAGACACGCGCACGCGCACACACACTACACTCAAAACATTCTTCATACATTCAAGAAATATAAGAAATACCAAGAATACTTGCCTCACAATAATGTTGATGTTCAGTAATGTATTGTAAAACTCCGGAGAGAGCCTGGAGCTCTGTAATACAGGTTTCGACCTAGTTCAGACTCCAGACTTTCACAAGGATAATAATTTTAAGTTAAAATTCTAAATAGTCATACAATGTAAAATATTCCTTGTGAGTAATAAATAAAGATTATTTATTATTATATAATAGCCATTAATCTCCGATGGCTGTTCCGTAAATTGTCATTAATATGAATAAAAACAAATTTTCAAGCTCACATATTTATATTTCCAATTAATAAGTACATTACTGATAAAAATAAATAGCAATTAATCTATTAACTTACGTAATAATTTAATTATAATTAATAGAAAACTATCAGTGATAGTGCATAAGTGAAAACAAAAAAATATTTACAGAACGACCAATATGGTACAAGTATAGTTCAATCTCTTTACACGACAATTTACTCTTTTAATTTTAACCCTTAAAAGCCTGATTTTTTAAAACAAATAAAAAAAATATAAGTGTACCCTTGACTGTGTTTACTAATTGGGAGAAATAATAAAAAAATCAAAACGATATTTTTATATATTATATTTATTTTGAAAAAACATTTGGTAACATGTAAACAGCCAAATATAAAAAAAAAAATCGATTGTAGACGCCCAATGCTATTTATAACCCCGGTATCAAATTTGAAACTTCAGGTATTTAAGAGTTAAAGGCAATGAAAACACCCGTAAGGCTATAATGTCGTGCACGGTTCATTCTCCGTTTAGTAACATATTAAGTGAAACCACTTATAAGATTGATTATGGTTGCAATTTCATATATAATTTAATGTACACACTAATACGTAAAGAAATTTGACACTGGAAAGCAAGCGTACAATTCCAGACAAATTATCATACTGAAGACTAGGCAGCATGGTCTCCGACCTTAGCCTGTTCCACAACGGAACAAACGTACTAAAAAAAAAAAGCAAACGTACAGAGTAAGCATAGGTAATATAAATATTAATTAGATATCTATAAATTGGGATCTTCTGGACGTTGACTGTGGGAAAAAAAGGTTATCACCCATTTCGACATCGCCCATATCGGTCGGATATTTATTTTTAAATATGCTAAAAGTCTGTTTATCCAAATTTTTAATAACAAACTTTTAACATATTCGTTATTGGACCAGTATTAAGATATTGTAACGAAAATATATAGATATTGCCATATATTGTCCATCTTTAGTACAAAGCATGCTAAACGCCTCAAGATTTCGCTTCCGACAAACCTAAAGTGAAATGCAAACATCAATGACAGATAGATAGATAAAGAAATAATTTATTTGCATTACTTACAGCACACAAACACCAACAGACACAAATGCACAGTGAAAAAAGATACATATACTAAATAAAATAAAAAAAATCAAAATGCATAAAATTAGTAAAATTATTTTTTCTTCATGCGTGTGCCACAGTAATACAAAATGGCTACAACTTAGCTTATTGCTTTGCCCTAAAAAGAGCAAAACACTGATATTCTGTTGTGGCCAAAAGTGAGTCGCGAAATACCACTGAAAAAAAAAACAGCGGGTAGAATTGTGTACAATACTGTGATAATTTACAAACAAAAATAACTAGACAAACTTAAGTTTATGCATAGCCTAAAATATTTTAGTGTAAAATATTTTTACACATGTTTTTTACATGATATTTTACCAAACAGAGAACGTATCATGATCGACATTTGATGTGAATTTAGCCTAATGCGTTGTGTATCGGTGTTTTGTGATATTAAAAAAAATATATCTATATTGTTTATGGTAACTAGAATTTAGTTACGTCATAGAGATTTAAACACTATTTCTTAAACATAAAAAAGACAATAGTTGTCACGTGTACGTATTTTGCAACGTAAGGCCCAATATGCATAACATTGAGACAAAAGTCCGATCCCATGAAGTCTAGTATTTGGAAAATTCTGTACAAGTTAAAAAAAAAATTAAAAATATATGTCATTTCCTAGGAAATTTATGACCATATATCATTATACATAACATGGTTATAGAATTTAAAGCTTTGTGGTTGGTCAGTTTACACTGTCCCTTAACACGAATAGATTCAAACAAAACCTGAATTTTAGATCGATTTTGAGGTGCCATTCTTCTAAACTTGTTTCTTAATCTAATACTTTTTTTTTTTAATTGATAATTTCGCGAAATTACTGTTATAGTTAATTGGCCGTATGTTCTCGGTATAGAATAGGCCACCCCTTCCTTTCCCGTGAGTGTCGTAGCCAACTAAGGGAGAGCGAGGGATTGAGCTTGATTGTGGTTGCCAATACGCCTGCCAAACGTGGCAATTACTGGCAAAACTGAGGCTTATGTTCAGCTGTGGACTGTTGAAGGCTGATATGCTGACTGTTATGGGCCATCACAAACTAATGATAATTTAGACTTAAACCTATTAGAAATTTAACTCATATTGCTCCTTAGATCTCGCTGTGATATCAAATAGAAATTTTAATTTCAGAGACAAATTTAAAAAGAAATGGCGCCACTAAATCGAACCCACTTAAAGGAAATAAGTAGAAAATTCTGATCATAAGGGCAGATACACAACCATAGAAATAGAAAGAAGACGACAGGTGTTACAGAAATAGAAATTGCCTGCATTTCTCACTAGTAGTCCATGAAATTAAACGACACACTCATATTAACGTGAATTTAATGTTCTTTCTTAAGGATTCTTTTTTGTCAAAAATATAAATTAATATAAAAAAAAGCCTATCAAGTGTACAGATTTTTTAAGGAAATTATCATTTTATTGTCTATCTTTATATCTGTGCTATAATAATCATTATAAAGGGAAAAATGTTTCAAAAAAATTACATTGAAATTCGTAAATAGCATGTCTCAAAAAAATTACATTAAAATTCGTAAATAAATAAGGCGGATCATTATATATTTATTTTAGTAAACTGCAAAGTACTACTTGATTAGGAAATGTAAACAAAACTACAATAATACATTTTAACCGACTTCAAAAAAGGAAAAGTTCTCAATTCGGTTATATTTTTTTATGTTAGTTATTACCTCAAAACTCTGTCACTTGTTGAATTTGGAAAATTCTTACTTTATCTGAAAGGATATAAGTACTTTCAGTTTGGTCCCATAGAATTTTTACCAAAATCGGTTCACCAATTTAGTATTTGAATCAAAACTACTAGTTTTGTCGTGACTGAAGTTGGGCCACATACATTGGCTGAAATTGCGTTTCGAATGGACGATAATGAAAAAAGAAAATGACCATTCATAAATACTTAAATCTAAGTTTAATAAAAATAATTCTTACTTTCTTACAAATATTTAGGCATACATGATTTTATTCACCTTGCGTCTTATTTCTATTTGTATGTAAATATTAAAAAAAAAAAAAAACTGAAATACAACAAAATATAAAATTGGAATATGTATTCAGACAATAGAAAAATACAATAAAAGCCTCAAATAATTAAAAATTATTAAAAGTATAAAATCATAAGTACACATTTAATTATTTATTAGAATATTAAAATATGACTAGGTCACAAAGCAACGGGCACAATACACACAATTTTTTATATATTATAAATTTTCTATAAACATTATTCCAAAGATAAAACATGATTATGTTATTTAAAATTTATTTTTATGTTATTAATTAAAAATAACAAGTTAAAATTATTCCATTTATGTTATGCACAGTCGTCAATTCATAAGACTACATTTACATTCAATTAAAAATATAACACAAATATGATTATGATAAAAAAAAAAAAACTAATAATTCACTATTGTCACTTTAGTTCGTCTATAGCCTTATAATTATTTATACAATATTAAATAAAGATCTTTTTGTATAATTTCATTTTAATAACATGCAATAAAATATATATTTGATGTTTAAACTAAAATAAAAAAAAAAAACTGTGAGGATCTATGGTTTACACTTCGTTCAAAATACTACAAAAAAAAAAATAAAATAAAAAAAAAAAACATTCTGTACATATTTACCATCTGTATCAAATCGTACAAATCGTAGGGGATACACTATTTCAAGGGATTATGTTTCCTACAAATATACAAATAAGGTGGCTTTTACTACTATGGTCAAAATATAACATCTTTACTACTAAAAAACTAAAGCAATTGGAGATAATAAAAATAAGTGTCATACAACCACACCAACCACCTGGACCTCAATCTAGGGTAGTCTGTGTTGTGAAGAGTCGGGGGGCGAACATATAGAACAATCTAGAACAGCCAGACCCGAGGCATTTCAGAAAAATATATTTCATAAATTGGCCCATCTGGGAATCGAACCAGGGTTCTCATACCTCATTTACGCAAGGCAACGTATTTGAAAGTCAATTAACGATGCGCGAATTAACTAGGGAAAAGACTGTAGGATATTCAGGATCAGTTGTTTAAACTGAATTAGTAAAATCATTCGATTATAATAATTAGTATATTACTAATTTAGTAATCGAATTTTAAAATTAGTAATTACTAATTATTCGAATAACAAAATCATTCGGATTCGCGCACCGCTAAAGTCAATTTTATTTTGTCTAAATCGGTGTTCCCAACGTGGAGCCCACGCACCACAGGGGGGCAATTTGATAGTTAAGGGGGGGGAAGGGGAAATAAAAAATGGACTCGAAGCGATTTTAACCCTCTTGCTCCGGGCCATTTAAATGCAATGCTACAAGTAGATATCGGTGTCAAATTTAACAAAAAAAAAAATACTGCAAATATTTATTAGGTATAATTTCGTTTGACGTTACTAAAATATCAACTGGCCGATTAGAGTCGTCAAGTAAACTTTGTCGGGGAAAATTATGTATGGGGGCGTAAAAATTTTAGAAATGTTCAAGTGGGACGTGGCACAATAAATGTTGCGAATGTTGGTCTAAATCCTTTGATCAGTGAGATTTTGAAGAGCATTTGAAATTATTTTACGTCACAATTTGTATTTAGAAGAATTACAACAATACCGTGAACTATAGAGGTAGGTAGCAAAGTATACTGCATTTTTTCAACTTGCTTACGATCCAATGAAATATGGACTTTATTAATACATTAAAACTACGTATAATATCTATACATAACGGTATTTTTTAGTTGTAATTCCACCATGAATAAAACCAGCACATTGTTATTCTTTTGACTACAACTATAAATACCCGTGAACGCGATTTAAAGATTTGTTTAAAAAAACACTAACTATTCAGTATGATGTAACATAGGAACCAAAAAGTACTTGGTATTTTGCACGGAGAACACCTTTATACTACAGTGAACGCAAATCCAAGATGAAGGGAGCTTATGGTGGCAGCAGCGTCCCTCTTAAAATACACCAAAACCAAACTGCGGTTGCCAACCCGCCTGCCAAGCACAGCAACTACTTGACAACCCCCCCCCCCTCATATGGAAGAGGCTATGTTCAGCAATGGACAGTTGACGGTTGATATATCGAAGATATATTAAAAATGTGACCAACTAGTGAATGAATAATTAAAAAAACATTTAAATACGTATAAAAAAATTTTTTTCGTGAAAAATTCACTCCAGAATTGGACTGTACTATCGTCATTCCATATAACAATTGTTCAATGTTGAATGTGGTAGAATTAAAAAAAAAATTGTATTTTTTTTTATACAACAAATGGGGCTAATAAACATACAGCATGTTTGATGGTAAACGGTTACCATAACCTATGGACTGCGGCCTATGGCCTATGTCTGCAACACCATATTTGACATTATTTTACCATATATGATTTACGCTTGACTTTTATACTTTTACCATCGGACGAGCCGTATGCCTGTTTGCCACCAAAGTAGTATAAAAAAATAAACAATTACTGATGGCAAGGAATTAGATCGGTTCCATGTAGTCACAGATCTCCCATACCATAAATAATATAAAAAATACATAAATAAAATAGAATAACAATGCGACGGTTCAGGGTGTATATACCATGAAATGAAATTCGGAAATTTCAAGTTCGTATTTTCGTTCAAACCGAAATCGATACAGTAAATGGAGCTTTAAAATATTAAAAACTTAAAATGTTATAAATCCTACAAAAAAAAAAAAAGTCCAAAGGAACAATATTTTAACATTTTTAAACGGTATATATTAGTTATTATCAATATTTTGCCCTTTGAGTTAAATTCCACACAGATCTTTGAACCTTTTTGCATTGTTGAAAGCAATATTTTATGTTCCAAAATTCATTCTATTATTTATTGTTGACTGCTTTTAAACTGTAAATGTCAGTGCATTAGATACAATTTTATTTTTATCTACCTATCTATTACGTAATTTTAAGATCAAATTTGTATTTCGTTCGGTCCCGAAATTTCGTAAAACATTTCATGGTAGGCCCTCTGTTTTACCCGTTTGTATTTGTTCTACGCCCGCGACGCTTGCCGACTTCTGTACATTCTGGCGACGAGATCAGAACGCGTTACGACTTCACACCCGCTGTATCTCGAACAGTTTCACGTCCGTGTCGTACCATATTGGCGGGTCCACGTTACTGTGAAATAAATTTATTTAAATTTTATTACTTACCTATGTGTGTACTTTACTTTATTACTTAACTATGTATGGATGGCCCACCTGATGAAAAGTGGCAACCGTCGCCTATAGACATGAGCAGTACCATGGACAAAACAGACTATACTGTTTCGCCCATGACACCCCCCCCCCATGCGTTGGCATTCCTGAGGACTCAGGTGTTATTCCTCTGTACCCAGTAAATTCACGCCATATCCCACCCTTCAAACCGAAACACAGCCATGCAAACACAACTGCTTCACGGCAGAAACACGAATGGGACAGCGGTACCCAAGTAAAGACTTATATGATACATTATAAGGCCGCAGGTTTTTTATTTTTTGTAGTGGGTGATAATGAAATGGTAACCCCGCCTGCGTTATCGGTATACGCTGGCGGGGCACCAGTGCGGGGTGATAGGTGTCGATGAAAGCAGGTCATTTAGCCAATCGTGTACAAATTCCACCAGAATTAATCACAATAGTTTCCAGGAGGAACCGTGTGGAGGTCGACCTGATAGGGTGTCGCTAGTTATGGGGAAATTAGACCCCATTACTAACAATTCCTTGCCCCCCAGGGCTGCAGGAGGTAGTGTAATGGTGTCAGCATGCGTACCGTATGTATATGACGCCCCACATGTAGGTGCGGAACCAGGCGGCGGTGCCCGCGTTGGCCTGGTACTTGCGGATGAGGATGGGGTGCGGCACCGGCAGCAGCCCCACCAGCGTGCCGTGCTGCAGGAACCGCAGGATCTCCGACTCGTCCGTCAGGCCCCTGCACAGTACAATTGCAGGCTGTTTTGGTAACTCATAGTTGAAAAGATATTTTTTTTATACAATTTAGAATGGCAAACAAGCTGACGGCCCACCTGATGGAAAGTGGTAACCGTCGCCTATAGACATGAGCAGTACCATGGACATAACAGAGTATACTGTTTCGCCCATGATACCCCCATGCGTTGCCATTCCTGAGGACTCAGGTGTTATTCCTCTTGTTTACTTTCCATCGGGTGGGACGTCAGCTTGTTTGCCATTCTAAGTTGCATAAAAAAATCTATCAGAAACGCTATCCAAATTAAATTAGTAACAAATTTAACTATTTAAAACAGGGTATTTTATACATTTTGCAGTCACAGACTACTTTCAGAATTTAAACAATTCCACGGATCTCTGTTAAAAAAACATTCTAGTTAGGTCCCTTAAATAAAGACGGGGGCGGTGTTTTTCTTTTATGGCAGATCCCCCCTATAAACTATCATGATTAATTACTGATAAATTCATCATGATGGGCTAGCTGGCCTGTTTTCATTCTCATCTATCACCTTTTACTGGTGCCCCGCCAGCGTATACCTATACCATTATAATACATATTATAAATATACCATTAACGCAGGCGGGGTTGCCATTCCATTTTCACAATAAAAAAAAGTCAAACACGGCTGGGTGATGGTCTGCTGCGGGAGTTTAGGATGCAGTTCACTGGTCAGATGCCACACTCATTGACCTGGTCACACTCATCATCATCACCACACTCACCACAATCGTCACACTAACCACCATTGTCACATCCACTTCACTAGTTACACTCATCATCATCGCCACACTCACCACATTCGTCACACTAACCACCATTGCCGCAATCACTACCCTGGTTACACTCAACATCATCGCCACACTCACCACATTCGTCACACTAATCACCATTGTCGCACTCATAACCCTGGCTACACTCAACATCATCGCCACACTCACCACATTCGTCACACTAACCACCATTGCCGCACTCACTACCCTGGCTACACTCAACATCATCGCCACACTCACCACATTCGTCACACTAACCACCATTGCCGCACTCACTACCCTGGCTACACTTAACATCATCGCCACACTCACTACCCTGGCTACACTCATCACCATCGCCACATTCACTACAATCACCACTACATGTTCATCACAAACAATATTTTCTATATACACTAGCTAAGGACTCACTTGTCGATGCATATCTTCTCAACTTGCGGCACCAGCACCTGCAGCAGCCGCATAATGGTCTGCAGCGGGAGCTTGGCCCGCCAGCTGGCCACCCACTCTCCGGTCGGCCGCCACTCGCCGCTTTCGCCACCACCGCCGCCGCCGCCGCCGCCACCGTCGCCACGCTCGCCACCGCCGTCACTGCCCGTGCTCACTCGGATGCTGTCCCGCTGTGTCATACAATCATCGTTATTTACAATAATGTTTGTTAAATAAATTTTAAAATTTGAGGATATTAGATTAAATTAAGAGCGTTTGTTAATCTTCTTAGACGACGAGGTCGGTTGTGAAGTCCAGTTAGAAGTGTGCCAATATCAGAATATAAATTATAAAAAAAAAAATTTTACCATTGTTTATATTTCTGATTATTACACAAAATTTTTAATTAAACTTAGAATGACAAACAAGCTGACGGCCCACCTGATGGAAAGTGGTAACCGTCGCCTATAGACATGAGCAGTACCATGCACATAACAGAGTATACTGTTTCGCTAATGATACTCCCCATGCGTTGCCATTCCTGAGTACTCAGGTGTTATTCTTCTGTACCCCGTAAATACACTGCCATATCCCACCCTTCAAACCGAAACACAGTAATGCAAACACAACTGCTTCACGGTAGAAACACGAATAGGACAGAGGTGCTCAAGCAAATGACTTTTCTGTGAAGTCTCCCTCTAATAGTATATAGTATTTTCGTGTTCGGGTTCCAACCGTGAAGCAGTTGTGTTTGCATGACTGTGTTTCGGTTTGAAGGGTGGGATATGGCATAAATTTACAGGGTACAGAGGAATAACACCTGAGTCCTCAGGAATGGCAACGCACGGGGGGTATCATGGGCGAAACAGTATACTCTGTTATGTCCATGGTACTGCTCATGTCTATAGGCGACGTTTACCACTTTCCATCAGGTGGGCCGTCAGCTTGTTTGCCATTCTAAGTTGTATAAAAAAAAAGTATTTTATATATGTAATCATATATACTATCTAACTATATGGTATCATGAATTAATCTTATTTAAAAAGTACTCAGCAAACTAAAATGTTAATTATAAAAGCAGTCAACACTCGATTGACCGTTTTTAAGACTCTTTATACTTAATGCTTCATTTATAGTCTATGGTCGATGTATTCAAGACATTTTCATTTTCATTCCAAGTATTATTAAAATAGTGTCAATTTCTATAAACTAAATCTTCAAAAAAGATTTAAATAAAGATGTTTTTTTTGTTACATCCTATAAATAAATATTATTTTTAATACTAACATGCGCGATGGACTGTGAGGAACCATCGGCGTGTTCGTCTCCCGCGGGGCGGTCGCGCGTCAATAAGTGTTGTCCGGGGCTGCCTCCCCGGGCGCCGCGCGGCTCCTCCGCGGCCTCTAGCGGCGGCGGATGCGCGGACTCGCGCTCCGTCATGCTCGCTATCGCTAATTATTACAGGCAAAGGCATTAGAATTGTCAAGCAGGTAATTTTATAAAATGCGCTAATACGTTAAGGGCCCAATACCATTGAGCTGATCTGTTTGTTTTTTACGCGCTACCAAAAAATTGCTAGTAATTGAACGAATTATATGAAGATCTGTATTTAAATTAAAATGGTTTTTAATAAATTTATCTACATTTGAGTTTAAGGGTGATTGAGGTGGGAGGGGAGGGGGGGTTGTTAGTATAGCGAACTGACCACCTTATTACTTGTAAAATACTCCGACTACTCGACATCTACATCATGTGAAAATGGCATGGTAACCCCGCCTCGCTATCAGTATTCACTAGCAGGGCACCAGTGATAGGTAAGGATGAAAAGGCAGGTTAGTTTTGGTCGGTGTGGTGCACGTACCGGGCGTGTCCGCCAGCGAGGGGTTGAGCGTGCCGGGCTCGGCGGGCTGCGCGGGCCGCGAGCCCTCCATGGCGGGCTCGCACACGCTGTCCGCGCTGCGCGACCTGCGCACGCGCACTCACCACGTCACCACGTCACCACGTCACCACGTCACCACGTCACCACGTCACCACCCGCGCACCGCACGCACACACGCGCACACGCACGCCTCGCACCGCGGCCGCGCGTGCGTGCGTGTGTGCGTGCGTGCGTTCCAGTCTTTATATGTATATCTTTATTTTATTTTAATATTACACCTGGAATCAACAGCTTATATCTAGAATAATAAGAAATATTACATTTGCACCATACATTAGCCAATTACAGATTCCCAATTTGTATACCAAACAGTATTTTGCTTATTTTTAGAGGGTAGGTTAAATATAATTAAAAAAAATTTATAGAGATATTTATTTAAAATGTTGCATCACTGGAAATTAATATATGTTTGTGTGTATGTGCGTGTGTATGTGGACGGTGCGTGTGTGTGCGTATGTAAGTGCGCGTGTGCGTGTGTACGCGTGCGTGTGACCGCGTGCGCGTGCGCGTGTGTATGCGTACCTGGGCAGCGCGAGGGCGGGCGGCGGCGGGCGGGCGCGCGCGGCCGACAGCGAGCGCGCGATGGCGGCGTGCTCGTGCGTGTGTACGTGTGTACGCGTGTGTGTACGTGTGTGCGCGTGTGTATGCGTACCTGGGCAGCGCGAGGGCGGGCGGCGCGCGCGGCGGCGCGCGCGGCGCGCGCAGCGAGCGCGCGATGGCGGCGTGCTCGTGCGTGTGTACGTGTGTACGCGTGTGTGTACGTGTGTGCGCGTGTGTATGCGTACCTGGGCAGCGCGAGGGCGGGCGGCGGCGGGCGGGCGCGCGCGGCCGACAGCGAGCGCGCGATGGCGGCGTGCTCGTGCGTGTGTACGTGTGTACGTGTGTGTGTGTACGTGTGTGCGCGTGTGTATGCGTGTGTGTACCTGTGTGCAGCGCGAGGGGCGGGCGGCGGCGGGCGGGCGCGCGCGGCCGACAGCGAGCGCGCGATGGCGGCGTGCTCGTGCGTGTGTACGTGTGTACGCGTGTGTGTACGTGTGTGCGCGTGTGTATGCGTACCTGGGCAGCGCGAGGGCGGGCGGCGGCGGGCGGGCGCGCGCGGCCGACAGCGAGCGCGCGATGGCGGCGTGCTCGTGCGGCAGGTTGGCCAGGCTGTGGAACACGCTGCGCTTGCGGATGATCGTGTACACCAGGTTCGAGTTGCCTGCGCCAGAACAAACTTACATTCGCTAATACCACATATACAATACACAATACAATACTCGCTAGTTGCACTGCGTGGAAAATCAGATATTATGATGACGTAACGCCGCGAAACGCGTGCGCCTGGTGTCTGTTCGATCGTCAGCGCCGAATCTTCAGTCGGTGGAAGATCAGCAACGACATGTTGCACGTTTCCTTATGTAATACGCCACACTTGGAGGATAAACCGCGTTAGTAGGGTATACTGAATATGGCTGCCACATTCGGTTGCCGATCTTCGATTGCCAAAGATACACTATATAATTTTTTTTATACAACTTAGAATGGCAAACAAACTGACGGTCCACCCGATGGAAAGTGCTAACCATCGCTTATAGACATGAGCAGTATCATGAACATAACAGAGTATACTGTTTCGCACATAATATCCCCCCCCCCCCATGTATTGCCATTCCTGAGGACTCAGGTATTATTCCTCTGTACCCTGAAAATTCACTGCCATATCCTGCCACCCTTCAAACTGAAACACAGCCATGTAAACAGAACTGGTTCATGGTAGAAACACGAATGGGACAGAGGTACCCAAGACTTTTGTACAGTCTCCCTCTGGTTATGTTAAGTATGATGCTTAATCAACATTTGTTGTAGCTCTTCATGAGATGATTTTTATATGGAGACAGTTACTACTAGTACATTTTGACATCGTGTAAAATGACAAAATTTACCAGAAATAAACCTATTAATTGAAGAAAAACTTTATACCGCAATTGATTGATGATACTCACCGTCAAATTGATACTGTATCATGTTGTTGAACATCTCCAGTAGGAAGAACACGAGGTGATGATGATGAGGCTGCGAGAACAGGAACCAAGGTGTGCTGAATGCTTCTAAGAGGTGCAGCAACTTCGTGGACGCCACCATCGACAAAGTCTTCAGGTACGGTGATACTGTACAACGGGGGAAGTAATTGTTAGTAATATAAATAAAAAAAAAAAAAAAACTAATGTATCCGACGTAAAAACCTGGGGGCCTACAATGAAATGAAATTCCGAAATTTCGGACTCAATTTCGTGTTTTCGTTCACACCTAAATTGAGCCAGTAAATGGATCATAACATTTCGTTCGTCATAAATCCTGCCATAAAAGTCCAGAGGAATAATATTTTCATATTTTTAATGTTTTCAAACGGTAAATATTATGTAATTTTAACATCAAATTTGTGTTTCGTTCGGCATCGAAATTTCGGAAAACATTTCATGGTAGGCCCTCTGCTCTTTTTTTTAACTCGACTGAGAAGGCGCTCACCATTAACGAGTATAGTGAGCAGGCAGTCGAACAGCGGCTGCAGCCGCTGGTGTCCGGTGGTGATGATCTTGTGGAACACGACCACCAGCAGGTCGGCGTGCGTGCCCGTGAACACGGGTATGTCCATGGGTATGGTGGCCGTGTACGGTTTGTTGAGGCGCACGCCGAAGTTCCTCTCCCCGGACAGCAGCAGCAGGATGAACACGCCGATGTGCATCAGCCCCACGCGTGCTGGACACATTATACTTATTACAATAGACTACCTTGAAGGGAAAGGGATTGTTAGTAATGGAGACTGAGAATCACATTGCTAGCAATATACCTAATCCTGACCGGATTAGGTATATTGTATGTATGTGGTATACCTCCACGCGGTTCTCCCTGGAAACTATCATGGTTAATTCCTGTTGAATTCATTATGATGGGCCAACTGACCTGTTTTCATTCTCATCTATCACCCTTCACTGGTGCTCCGCCAGCGTATCCCGTTAGCGCAGGCGGGGTTACCATACCATTTTTACCCATCAAAAAAAAAACAGACTACCTTTCGCCAGAGACTACGTTCGTGCGGTATGTAATATAGCTGGTTACTCTGTTCGAGTCATAGACTATTTTGTTTGCTCTTCTAATACTAATTAAATATTTATTATTATTAATTATTTGTAGTAATATTTTTACATAAATAGGGCAAGAGAGAGGCAGTAGCGTCCCTCTTAAAATATCTCTAAAAGCGTAACTGTGTTTGTCAACGCGCCTGCCAAACGTGGCAACTGCTGACAAAACTCTCCTTATGGGAGACAAAACTCTCCTTATGGGGAGGGTTTATGTTTAGCAATAGAAAGTCAACGACTGAAATAATAATAATATAGTATTTTTTTTTATTTATTTATTGGGTAGTAATTTACTGGGTACAGAGGAATAACACCTGTATCCTCAGGAATGGCAACGCATGGGGGGTATAATGTGCGCAACAGTATACTCTGTTACGTCCATGGTACTGCTCATGTCTATAGGCGACGGTTACCACTTTTCATCGGGTGGGCCGTCAGCTTCTTTGCAATTCTAAGTTGTATAAAAACAAAAAAAAAAACATTATAACTTACACTGGTCTGCGCGCGAGTCGTTCAAGTGATACAATATTGGGACCAGCACTTCTAGAACGTCGCTGCTCTTCAATACGTAGTACATGAATTTCTGAAAAAAAAAATACAATAAGATGACAAGGAAGGACCTCATAAGCATATGTGATAATTGTTTACTTGAAATTAACTTTACTGGACAAATAACAAAGACAAATAGTTATGGGGGGTTGAGGTAAATATTTCATACATACAATTCTTCTTATATTCGCATATGGGGTCAGCTAAGCCGTTGCACGTCGACCCATTCGGATCTTTTATGCTTCCCCCCGCCTTATACCATCATTTCATAGATCCTATGTGTTACCTTAACGATATCCCGCGGTTTAAGATATCTGTAGTCCCCTGGTTCTGGATTAGCCGTTCCCAGTAGACTCATACGCATACTTGCCAACGAATCGCAGTTGCACATCATGTATTCCATGGATTACGATTTTTCACTGCACAGTCTGTATAGTGCGTCCGAAGATAAACCCATCTTGTATAGTATACGCCTTACTGGCATATGCCCAGTTATGGCACCCATAATGAGTCTTGCCTGTTGTCTGCCACCGCTGTAGATGAGTATCCCATCCCTCAGCATTATCGTTTAAAAACTTTTCAGTACGCCTAAGATCTTTTAAAGTCCTCCGTTCCGTTTGCTGTTATTTCCTAACATCAAGGGCAGAGTTAACAACACTTACATACAATTCTAATGATGATAAATTAGTACAGTAGATAAAATAAAACAGAAAATATTACATGGGATTTTGGAAATATGTCCTCACTATTGGATACGGGCGTTGAACTTCTGGATTTAAGTGAAAAGAACCGTGCTTATTGATGGTGCAACACTAACCTTACTGTAATGTAAATTGGACTCTATTTTCCGTGCTTAGCCTCTCATTTGGGCCGTTGTATGTATGAGTAGTAGCTAGTACAACCAACCTAGCTCCGCCCAGAAGCACAGAAGCTTCCTAGGATCTTCACAGGCCCACGGAGCGACCTCTCCTTTCCGGGGATTTCTGTACGTTGATGGGCCACAGCTTCACATTCCAGGATTACGTGAGCAGCCGTTTCTTCGGCGTCGAAACAGCCTTGACATAGAGGGCTGTCTGTGGCTCCTATTGTGTATAAATGTTTGTTTAATGGACAATGGCCCGTTATTACACTAACCTTATTATAGTCACACATCTTCCAGAACAAAACCAATAACTCCTGGTGCAGGTTGACCTTCTTGGCCGAGTTGGGCAGGTAGGTCTGGGCGAGCGGGTTGTTGAGGAGTCGCGTGACGCCCCGCAGCGCGAACTGGAAGTCCTCGTCGCGGTGTATCCGCGACAGGTAGTTGATGAACAAGTTGTCCGGGAGACTCTGGGTAACAAACAATTTTGGCATGGATCTCCAGAAGAAATAGTTGTAAAAAGATTAAGGGCCAAAATATTATTACCTCGTCTGTTTCCTCATTGACAGTGTTGCTTGTGTCGTGGTCTAGTGTCACTATTAGGATCTGCAACGCCACCTGCATTACAATTAATAAGTTTATTTACTAGTATTTTACTCTCTTTACCATTACAAATAATGATGAAATTGATCACTACTAGATGGCGTAACAAAATAAAACATACACCAGTTTTTAAGTTACATCTTTAGAAAAAAAACAGTAAAAACCAATTCAAATTTCTCAAAGTCCATTTTACTTTTCTCCAAGATTTCACAAATAGAAAAGAATTTACTCAAAATTATGGAAATAATACTCAATCTGGCAACACTGCTGATTTTGTAATAATAGAATTATTTAATCATAAATTAAAAAAAAAATTACCTCGACGAGTGGCTCGAGGGTGTCTGCGAACAAGAGATGGTTATAGGGCAGCCCCAGGCCGACCGGGTCGTACGAGCACACCGTGTTCAGCAGCGACGTGAACAGCGGCAGCGCGTGACGGTTCTCCGAACTCGTTAGGTAACTGCGGCGTGAAATCGAAATCAGCTGGGGTTGCCCACATTTAATTAATTGATTACAGTATTTTTCAAATTGGGGAGTAAAAAAAGTTTAGTACTGTTAAAAAAAATTTAAAAAATTAATTTTTGTTAGAGGAAGGGGGGGGGGGAGATTAGTTATATAATAATCATTTCGTGTGGACGAAAAGTGGCAATCGACGCCTTTCGATGTGAACAGTATCACAGAATTCACTGTGATGCTCTGGTATTTCTCATAGGTCTGAGTGTTTTTACTTATAATTTATATTTACAAAAAAAAAAAAAAAAATAAGTAGATAAAGTCTATTGTATAATTAGATAAAGGCTGTCAACCACTCTTAGTTCAAGTTGCTTCGTTCGGGACTAGATGGCGCTGTTATCTAATATGTTTACCAAACAGGAAAAATGTATTTTTTTGTATATCGGATAAAATAAAAAAAAAATAGTTGATCGAATTTAAAAATTATTACCAACGCGTAATAATGGGCTATAATTATTAAAAAAAAAATTGCGAATTTCTCCCTAGGACAGGTAGGTGTGCGAAGCCGGGCCAGGTCTAGGCCAGTGATTCTCAACCTTTTTTTTGTTGCGGCACATATTTAACGATTTCAAAATTTGGCGGCACACAAAGAAAAAGATAAAAATTATTTACCTACTACAACACACTGCGTAAATAGTTTATGACAAAAATTTTAAATATTTGCAAAATTTGGCGGCACACAAAAGTGCCGCGGCACAGCGGTCGAGGATCACTGGTCTAGGCAATAGTAATATCCAGATGGAGACTAACGCGATCCAGTTGTTGTGGTGCGCGGCGGCGCGGTGCGGCGGCGTGTAGACGGTGTCGCTGCAGCAGGCCAGCAGCAGGCGCAGCAGGTCGGCGCGCGCGGCGTCGTGCGCGGCGCAGCGCGCGGGGCTGCGCGCGAAGCCCACGCCGCCCGCCCAGATGTACTCGCAGCTGTCCAGCGACGACAGCTCCTCCGCGCGATCCTGCAACGCACGCCAATGCGGATACCCCTACCAGAGGGACACTTTGTACAAAACTCGATTGCTTGCGTACCTCTGTCCTATTCGTGTTTCAACCGTGAAGCAGTTGTGTTTGCATGGCTGTGTTTCGGTTTGAAGGGCGGGATATGGCGTGAATTTACTGGGTACGGAGAAATAACACCTGAGTCCTCAGGAATGGCAACGCATGGGGGGTGTCATGGGCGGAACAGTATACTCTGTTATGTCCATGGTACTGCTCGTGTCTATAGGCGACGGTTACCAGTTTCCATCAGATGGGCCGTCAGCTTGTTTGCCATTCCAAGTTGTATAAAAAAAAAACCCCTGGAAACTATCTCGGTTAAATCTTGTGCAATTCGTCACGATAGGCCCAGCTGACCTTTCATCCTCACCTATCAAGCCTCACTAGTGCCCCGCCAGCATATACATAAAAATATAATTCCCAAAAAATAATAATTTCCGAAATCAGTTTATAAATGCCGGAGTTATGTGATGACAAACATATAAAATAAAATACAACCAAATTAGGAATCTCCTTCTGTTTGAAAACAGTTGAAAATTACTGTTTTGTATTATATTCCTCATTTCCAGCTTTACTAGCGAATTTTTCGACAAAAACAATGTACAGACTGTTCAAATAGCACTACTTTTATAATAGAAAACATAATTGCAAATTGCACAATTCGGTCAAGATCATCAAACTTTGGCGCGTATGTACTGTGATGTGATATCAAAGCATAGATAAGGAATTTATTTAATAGCAAATCAATACTCACGGGACCGGAGCGCTTCGTGCTCGCCACTGTGAAGTCTGGGCAAAACAGCAAATCCTGAAAAGTTGTTTGTTGACAAAATTATATGTCACCAATTATTTATTTTTTGGAATTAAGCACATTAATAGTATACATATACATAAATTTAACAATATTTTTTTTGTGTAACATGCTGGTATGCATACCTACAGCAGGTGCACACAACACTGACTACAGATTGCATGCATATAAATGTCACAATATAATTAATATAATAAATTAAATTTATAATTACATATTTTTGTTACAAAATTCAAATACAAATATATAACTATTAATACAATTATATTAATTATATGTATATAATTATAACTATTTATAATAATTTTACATTATATATATTCATTAACATTTAAGGTTTTTTTAATAAGCGCTACCTAATTACACCTAGCAGATTATATTAGCTATTTTATGTTAATCAGATTAAGAGTGTTCAAAATTTTTTGCTTATTGAAGAGTGGTACCTCGCAATTTTTTTTTTTTTTTATTTAATTATCATACATTATCTGTCAATTTGCAAAAAAAAAAAAAACAATTTAACATTTCTCAATGTTTCTGACTGATTACTTAAAAAGTGCTCTCTTAGTTAACAAGAATGTTAATAGCAGAATATGTTATATATAAATCTACCATTCAAATATTTGCACCTATTTTATATTTTACATTTTTGACATATAAATCAAAATCTTCAATGATTGCTTAATAAGAATATTACTGCATGATTAACATATTAGTTCTTAGGCAAAGCAAATTTTGAATAATCAATTAGAAACATTGACAATTCATCAATTGTTTTTGAAAATTGATAGATAATGGTGACACTGTTACAGTTCCTTATGAATACTCTTGCACACCATCTCTTTATGAATACTCTTGCACTCCATGCACACAGAAGTATAAAAGACAATGGTGACAGTAACCATTTCATATGGTAGACTGACAGTTTGTTTACCTCTCTACTAATAGAATAATAGATGCACTCTTTATAAGGAGTTAAGTAAGAACATTTTTCTTCTATTTATATTTTATAAATACAAGCTATAAATGAAAAATAATTTCAATATTATTTTTAAATTATATAAGACAAATCTTATTAAAATTAAACTTGTAAGAAAAGTCTAGTTCCAAGACCTTTATTTATTCCATATTTCTAAATGTATATTGGATTTAATGCAAATTTAGATATCCCTTAGGTGGTGTTATATATATATATATATATATATATATATATATATATATACATATATATACATATACATATACATATATATATATATATACATATATATATATATATAGATTGTTTTATTACAAATTACATAAAATTAGTAGTCGAGTTAAACTTACAAAATTAACAAATAAGTTGGTTAAGCTTTCAATAAAGTAAAATTGACTTACACAGACAGCATTGATCAGTGACTGGGCGAGGGGCACCGACTCATTCTCACTTGCGGCTGGAAGTGATGACCAGAAGAATCCGTGCCATTCAGGCTCCTCCAGCATGTATGGCAACACTCTGGTCAGTAGCCGGGCGCAATTCAGAGCTATGGATGTTAACAATGATTAATTACTTATATCGAAATACTTCACAAAATTTTGTCAAAGTTAGTATGGGATTAAAATGGGAAAAGTAAACATTTTGATTTAAAAAAAAATGGTTACTAATTGTCAAACTTATTGTATAATAATATAGATATACTATGTACTGCATTTCAATTCAAGTTTTTCAACTAGGCTAAACTTGATCACTTTGATCTTAGTCTAAAAACTGAGAAGCGAGCTACAGAACTAAGATCTATAACAAGATTGGAAGAGGTCACAACTAAAATATAAAAGAAGACTGAAACGGAGATAGGCAGGCCATATGTTAAGAGCACTAAATGAACCAATACTGTAACAGAATGGATTCCTCATTACTGAAATAAAACAATAAGAGGTCGCCATAATGAAAGTTGGTCTGATGAAAACAAAAGTGTTGCTAATACATTGTGGCTCAGGAGAATAAGAGATAGCAAAATATGAAAGATGCTGAAAGAGGTATTCATATCGAAAGGATATATTGACCCGGTGTCTGTTGTGCAGTAAGACTATTAAAAAATATAATTTATGGTCAACAAATAAAGGCTTTGAAATTGCATTATTATATCAATATAAAGAAATTATTAAATATTGAATTAAATTGTAATAAAATAATAAATAGCACTCTATGAATCCAAAAATTTTTATATTTTAACTATTATAAGTATGATGAAAAAATTGAGTTTAACTTGAAAATGGTGTAATAAATTATATGTAATGAAAAGTAATAAAAGTAGACAATTGCCTGTTTGCTGTTCCCTTTGAGTCCTACAGCTGCTGTCCACAGTCTTAACTAACTTCTCAACAGCCTTGTAAACTAATGTGGCCAAGTTGTTTGGCGACTCCTCTCTTAGCGCACGAATCTCGGCGCCAGGAACAAGTGCGAAAACATCTTGCACGTTAGTTACGCTTTCTGACCAGAACTGATCCCAGAAACTGTCGTCTGAAGAGTCTATTGGCTGAAAATATCATTTCAAACACTTAGCACAATAATTGACACGAAAAAAAATGCTCTTAAACCATTTGTCCAGACTTACCTGTGACTTAGAAGTGAGCTGAACAACAGCTTTTCTAAAATTTAGTTTTGTATCTGCGTTACCCATTATATATTAATTATTTTAGTTAATAAAATTGAATGAAAGCATATTTTCCACGTCCATACAAAACAATAGAATAAAATGACACTAAAAGTTGACAGTTTGATAACCAGGGTTAACACATGCGATTTTTATTTTTAGCTAAATGTCAATTTTCTCAAAATCGAGAAGATTTCGTTTTGATAGCGTTGTACAGTTTATTAATACCAATATTGTCAAAAAAAGTTCTAAATTTCTACATGTCTATATCACTTTTCAACAAAAATTTTTCCAAGACTTTTAATACCAAATCTGGCAACAGCTATCGTCAAAGTCGTGAAAGGTCAAAGACATTTTTTTTTTATTCATCTTATAATGGTCTTATCTTTCTTCATATGGTTTGGCCCTACAATCTAATTTGTTTTTTGTTGTTTCCGATTCGAATTTGTGATAATTTCGAATTTGTAATAAAGAAATGACTTTATAGTAATTTTTTTGTTTTCCCCATTTCTATAAGAGCATATCTAGTATATTAATTCTTTATATTGTTAAAAATGTTCACACCGACATAGAAGCAGAATGTTATGAGTAATTTTTTTTATACCATTGAGGTGGCAAACAAGCATACGGCCCACCTGATGGTAACCAGTTACCGTAGCCTATGAACGCCTGCAATATCAGAGGTATTACGCGCGCGTTGCCGACCCTGAAGAAACCTCTTTACCCCCCTTTTGAAGAACCTTAATGTTAACCTCTATCATTTAAAATTACCTACAGTATAGGAATGTAAATTAATTTCATTTTATTATCGTGTCCATTACTTTGTAATCAATATAAAAAATCTACAATGTAGATGATGTAAACATGTACATAATAATGGTTATATATATATATATATATATATATACATAGACGCCACATAGAATTTTCTTAGATCTTGTTTATCTTCAGCAAATTATGAATCACACGTTACATGTTGTGTTGTTGGGCATTCAAAAATATGTGATTTTTTTTAAGAAATATTAGTAATAAATTTTTTAAATAGCAACACAAAAGATAATAGTACCTAACCAAATGTCTTTGTTCATCTGTTATCTCAATAGGTAGTTTATTAAAAAATATGCGGCCCTCCTTCGCTTGTCTATGGAATTTTATTTGAAGTCGGAAAAATGGCTGCTGTTAATCTTGCTCGTACTGTTTTTAATGGATTACTACGAAAATCCACCACATATAAAGCACCGGTCGTTTGCCGACTCTCTTCTGTCGCTCTAAAACAAAAATATAGTACAATAAAGTGCTCCGTTCAGATATATAATTCAAACCACTTTAAAACTGGGGTAAGATTTTTTTCTAAAACAATAGATATTTTAAAATTCTACAAATATACCTACCACATAAAATATATATTTCCAAGTTTTTATTATGTATTACTTTCTATTACGATCTTTCATTTAACAGATTTTTTATTTTTTTATTACTTATGTTTTATAACCTCAAAAGTATTGCATAACAAATGTGTATACTGTATACAGTCTGAGTGTTAATATAAAATGTTTAGGTGCAATGTCAGCGAATACAACAGTACTCTGGTGCCCAGTCTAAACTCTCTCCGCAGCAAATTGAGGAACGAGTGTTGAAAGTGTGCAGGGCATACGACAAACTGAGTACTATTCAGGTACCTATATCTACATTTATTTTCATAAATTTGTTTCAGAACAACCATGGTGTCCGCAAGTACAGCGGTGGCCCCCCACTCACTTTAGACCTTATTAAAAGTAGAGTGATCCTTGTTCTACAACTTTATGACAAAATTAATCCTGAAAAGGTAGCATCACATAGATTTTTTAAATCTTTTATTTCTTCTCTAATTGATACATTACTAGTTCATAATTACCTTTAACATTATTAAAATATTTTCCTTTTTTTTTTCATTTCAGTTGTCTGTAGATTCCCATTTCATGACTGATCTTGGTCTTGATTCTCTTGACCATGTGGAAGTCATTATGGCTATGGAGGATGAATTCGGTTTTGAAATTCCTGATGCAGATGCAGAGAGACTGGTTAGACCAAAGGACATAATCCAATATATTGCTGATAAGGAGGATGTTTTTGAATAAATGCAAAATCATTGCTGTTTGTCTCAAGAGTTTAGACCAATTATTAATGGTTTCATCACATAACAAATACTATAAGGTCATAAACAAAAATTTAAGTGTTATTTATTAAAAAAAAAAAGTTGGTCTAAGACATTTTGGGATACAGCTTAGTGTCTAGTTCTGATTTATTTTACATATTATTCAAATAAGAATGAACTGTGTAAAACTGATAGTGAATCATCTGTGGAGATGTATAAAGTGTAAATTGTTTTTATTGATTACAAGCCTGTTAGAGTAGATTGCCTGCTTTTCATTTAATCTAATCTCCAAAGAATAAAACAGAATCAATAAAACAATTTAATTTATATCAATTTGTATCATTTTCATAGATTAAAAATGTTTCTTAATATTTACATCTTAGTTTGGTGTTTTGGTAACATATACAATGACAAACTTTATGTTATTGTAATGTAAGCATGACATGAATTTTTGATATTTATTTTGACAGTGAATTACAGGGCATTGAGGCAACTTATTCTTGTTAAAATAATTATTACAAACAGACAGTAGCTGTCCTGACACTAATAAAAATAATGATTAATTTTAGTTCTATCAAATGTAACTATATTTCGTAGCAACCAGAAACATTGTCGGCTTCCTACAAAATGTTACATCTGAACAAATCTTCATGAATGGCAACACATTACGACATTAGACATTATGGTATAATCTGAAATATTTATTGGTGATATCAACTATCAGTTCGGTTGCCATTTCATGTGATATAAAAAATAGAGACATTTAAAAAAAATAAAGAATATTCATATTTAAAAAAAAGTACTATTATCTACTAATTCTGTAGTCTCATTGAAGGTGTTTAGTAATCATTCCCTCTGACTCGTTCGTTCGAGCTCTCTCGTTCCCACCACTCAGCACGTATAACACGTCGTCACTTAATATATAGTTTAAAATAATAAATAATCAATATTGCTAAGTGCCTTTGGACTTTACATCCACTAAAACCTGCATACCATAGTATATAAATACTATACAGAAGGTACAATTTATGTTTATAATAAATGGTAACAAAGTCAGTTCAATGAAAATACAATAGTGATGTTTTTTTTTTTGATAGGTGAAAATGGTATGGTAACCCCGCCTACGCTAATGGTATACGCCAGCGGAGCACCAGTGAAGGGTGATAGATGAGAATGAAAACAGGCCAGTTAGCCCATCATGATGAATTTATCAGGAATTAACCGTGATAGTTTCCAGGGAGAACTGCGAGGAAGTCGACCTGGTTGGGTATATTGCTAGCAATGGCATTCTCAGTCTCCATTACTAACAATCCCTTTCTCCTTTACAATAGTGATTAGATTAAGAGGTTGGATAAAACAATTCATATATAAGAAATCTGTTGAGAATATTTTGATTAATTTCATTGTAATCATTAATATGTAAAAAAAAACTATACAAAGACTAAATAGAATTTGTTTTGAATTAGTTTGCCATTTTAAGTTGCATAAAAAAATAGAAATAAATTGATTAATTTATTATATTTTGTTAATTAACTCAGTAGTTGTTTCTCATGGCATTGCCTGCATGAATCGAAAAATATGCTGTGTTAGGATGTGGACGTGCCTACCTGAGTACTAAATTTCATTCAAATATGTTTAGCCGTTTAAGTGTCATTAAGTAACAAACATCTTTACAAATTTTCTCATTTATAAAACTAGCTGTATCCTAGAATTTCGCCAGCGTTATATAAGACGTTTTAATTTATGACAAAATCTGTGTACCAAATTTAATTCAAATCTATTCAGTGGTTTTTGTTGGACAAAGTAAAAAATATCTATCACATAGACATATAGACATCATATAATGTTACTTTATAATTTATCCATTCTCACAAATTACTATATGCGGATGGCATATAGTAGGTAGTCGGATTTCTAAACACATCAGTGATATTTGATTCGTATAATTTTGAAAAAATATTAGTTATATATCATTTTCGATAAATAATTCCACTCATGCATTGTCTTACCAAAGAAGTTTTATTTTTAAGTCTTAAAAAAATATTGTTTTTTAGTTGTTCTCACTATAAACTTGGTATACTGTACTAGTTCTCGCATTTAATGTAAGTGCTGCCATCTGTTGTTGAGTAGACTAACTTGAAAGTATCATAAAAGCAATATGTCTCCGGCGCTCTTTGAGCCGATTCCATATGTATTACATATAGAATAGCAAATATTAAGCTGTGTATTTAAGCGAAAGCGAATCTGATTTCATGCTCACTTATCATTCATGGGTACCTTTTCAGGGCAAACTAATAGCGTAGGTGGAGTTATCATTCTAGTTTTCATCCTATTAAGAAAAATTGTGAGTAAATAGGCGAAAACGAATACACTAATTTTTTTCTAGTTTTTTTTTTTTTACAACACAGGGGGCAAACGAGCATGCGGCTCACCTGATGGTAAGTGACTACCGCCGCCCATGGTCACCCACAACACTTACGGCATTGCAGGTGTGCTGCCGGCCTTTTAAAAAGGAATATGCTCTTTTCTTGAAGGTTATGTTGTCGTATCGGTTCGGAAATACTGCTGCTGGAAGTTGATTCCAAAGAGTGGTTGTGCGTGGGAGAAAGTGCCTTGAAAAACGCACGGTGGAGGACCGCCACTCGTCCAGATGGTTGGGATGATATTTTAGTTTTATATTAATTGGGCTTTAATAGATCTCGCCTGTACTTTTCCAGTAGATCAAATTTAAATTTATAAATAAAGAACAAAATTAAGATTGAATTGCAATGAAAATAATATATATCATATATGGGTATTCTTTGAAAGAAAACTGATTTTTGTTGTTGCGATGCTCGAGATGTAATGATCAAATCATTTCAGTTTATACATACGTATAAACATATATAGGACATATAGTCCTATATATATAGCTATGGTAACAATTTACTATCAGATGGGTCGAATGTTTGTTTGCCATACCTAAGTAATATAAAAAAAAATTATTAGGGTGTTAATAAGTCGGAATCAAATCCAATGTTGTACCAAATACTTTTTTCTAATGTGATTAATAAAAAAATAAATGAAAAAGTAAAAATGTTGGCGATTGTATCGTTACATATTTAAAAATAAAACCACTGCATTAGAATAATTATTTATACAAGTTTTAAAGATGAAACTTTATATGACACAAATTTCATCTCGTAGAAATAAAAGAACAGTACTCACTAAGCATACATTAACATTTATATACAGACTAAGCTCGCAACATCTAAATGCACTTCACTTGCACACACAACATGCCATCCGACTCTAAATATAGTATGGTACAATACTATTTACATCGCTTACAATCCGAAGGGTGGAGCCTCGACATATATTACTTTCGAATAACAAAAATTAACTTAAATACTGTTCCATCCGCACACAACGTTCACTTTATGTGGAAATGAAATATTTTATATTAATATAAAACTGAGATAATATGTATAAAATAAATATCAACAGTGGGGCTAAGCGTATGCTGCGACGCAATAAATATAGTTATTTACTTGCAAACAACATCTCAGGATGTTCACAGTCTTTGACTAATTGCTGTTAAAATAAAAATGGCATTTATCATAAAAAAAAATCGATGCGCACGTATCGCGCTATCTATGACGGGGCTACGATACGCAAAGAATGGTATAAATGTCTATTTTGTTGGTGGCTACATAAGTTCGTGTCACATCGTAATTTATCTTGTTACTATGTTAAAATCTATCGCGGCTTGCGCAGCGAGCGCTGCTTCGACTGCGTCTCGGCATACGCTTAGCCTAATGGTAGTGGTCACGCTGGATTACGACGCGGAGCCGAGGGGAGCGGAGGCTACCGCGGGCGGCTGGCGCGGCGCGAGGCCGCTGCGGCGGCGGCGGCGGCGGCGGGCGCGGCGGCGGGCGCGGCGGCGGCGGCGGCGGCGGCGGCGGCGGCGGCGGCGGCGGCGGCGGCGGCGGCCGAGCGCAGCCGTCGCGCCGCGCCCGGGTCCACGCGCGCCACGCGCACCACGGGCTGCAGCCAGCCGCCCAGCCCCTGCAGCGCCCGCTTCTTCTTCCGAACCTCCCTCTCGTCCTCGGACACCGAGGGCCGCGACGTTCGCTTCTCGTCCTTTTCAGCTTTTGACTTCGACTTGTCGTCCCGGAGAAATAGCTTTAGATCCATATGTATGTTCTTATCGTTTTTAACTCGCTCCGGTGACAAGTCGACGTCTGTGGCTTCGCTCTTGTCCTGCGAGTCGTCGTCGGACCTGAGTTTGTCCCGCGCGACACTGGTGTCGACCTCGCGCGGCTTCGCCCTGTCCTCCGTTAGCGTTACGTCGTCTCTCTCGGTTTCCGACAGGTTTGGGTCCTCCTCGCTGAGCGTGTCGCGGGTGGTCTCGTCGTCGGGCGGCTCCGCGGACGACCGATCTAGGCTGCTGTCGGTCTTCCGCTCGACGTCGGCGCTGTTCCCCCTGGAAGTTTTCTTTGTCTGCTTCTTTTTACTTGGCCATCCTGTTCTATTCTTCTTCTTGAATCTGCCCCGTCTCGACCTCGCCCGATCCACCTCCCCCTCCTTGATCTCGTTCCTTATTATATCGCAGTCTTGACATTCGAGAACTAAACTGGACACATCGGGAATATTCGTGGACGTGGTGACCGCAGTTTCGCCTTCCACGGCTCCATCTGATAATTCAAAATCGGCGACATCCTCGAAAACTTCAGACAAAAACTGTTGAAGTCTCTCCGATGCTTCCTGTGATTCTGATAAAACTGGCTCAACTTTTAGGTTGCTTTGTATATCACTAATTGTGTCTTCCGATGCTGTCGATTTTGTATCGTCGGGATGTTTTCGTCTGTGCAATAAGCCAGCTGAGCCCAGTATGGCTAATGTGGATGCGTGTTCTCTAGGAGATTTTCTTGGGTGGCCCTCTAATGCTAAAATTGCCGCAGTTCGTTTCCGAATTCTTTGCTTCTTCATCCCTCGAGTCCCATATAACCTTGATGGTCCAGGTTTCTCTTCTCGTTTAACGAGATCACTTAGTGAGCAGCAGTTAGGTTTTAAAGGTGGTAACTGACCAACTTCATATGGTAACTTTGGTGATTTTGAGTATAAAGCTGCAACAAAGAAAACTATTTGTTAGACGTTTAAAAAACCAGTATTGCAATACATTATAATTATATTATTAATGCTTACCAAAATATTGTGGTATATTTTTAATTAGAACTTTATCTTCGTCTTGTCGTTTGAAAGTTTCAAACCAAGGCTCACTATGGGGTACAGATTCAAATGCAAACTCCAATTGTTCCACAGCTGGAGTGTATTTCAGTCTACCGTCCTCCCACTTCATACATTTCTCTGAGGGTTCCTCCCGTAAAGGACTTACGACTTCACCTTCAGGTAGTTCAGGAGCCAGAGCTGGTTCAACAACAGGTGGTAATTGTTCTTCTGCAAGTTCTACAGAAGGTGTAACTGCTACTTTGCAGGGCACTCTTCTGCTTCTTTTCGCTACAACTGGCGCCTTTCTTTTGCGTCTCCTCTTATCTTCTGGCCAACTATCTTCTTCGGAGGATTCCTCTTTTAGTGCTAATGGTCGCGCCAACCTTCGCCTCTCAGTCATAGGTGGTGGTGGTGGGGGTGGTTGAGGCGGCGTTTTTCTTTTAGGACTTAGAACTTTATCCTCATCATCTGATGACGTTGAGCTTGTTGAACTGGCACGTTTTGGAAACATGAATTGCTCTGCCTCATCACTTAGTACTGACAATTCTGACCGTCTCACTTTTCTAAACTTCACAACTAGAGGTTTGGCACCATTACAATTAGGAGATGAATCCTTTCTTTTGTTTGTAAACCCGCCGCTGGATCTAAGCTTTGTGCTTACACCAACAACTTTGTAGTACTGGCGATCTTCCGTTTGGGCGTCGTTGCATCTTTTACTACATCTCGTGTTGTGTTTCTTTTCATCATCTAATCCTCCGTTGCGCCTAGGACTTTGGTTTCCATTTGTATTTGAATCTGGTGTTTGAGATCGTTTTGAACGCCTATTTTTTGGCTGATCCATGTCTCCGTTGCATATTTTTCGCAAGGACCTCCTTTCACCGTTAATTGGCGTTGCTTTATCCAGGAATGTGGTTACGTCGGCACCGGAACTTATTAATGAGTCTAGTGCAAGGAAGTTAGTGTGATCCCTGACGAACGCCAAGTGATGTGGCGAGCGTCGATGTAGCGCTGCATCCACGTAGTCAGTATTGCACATCTCACAGTAACCTCCCTTCACTTCCTTTTCTTCCCTCTCCTTGATACGTGGTCGACTTTTCCTCGTCATTCTGAAACAGACATAGTATTTATCAATTAACAAATGTTTCAATGCAGGTATATTACTAAACATAACTTCTTACAAAGATTACTTACTTCTGATGTGTAGTGCTATTTTTACTTAACAGTATTTCCGATGATTCTATTTTCTCTTTCTTCTCTTTGGGCAAGTCTGATTCTAATATTTCAGGCCATTCATCAAACTCCTTGAAAATCGGTTTACATATTCTGAAATGAAATGAAGGAAGCAGTTAGTAAGCAAGAAAGTTTATCGTGTTACTATACTGTAGAAATGTTGATTCATACTTGTCCAAAAATTCAATCTTGATAAAAGGTTTAGTGAAGAACCTGACATGCGCTATACGCGGCGCCGTGAAGAATGTGTACAGTTTATCCAATAGATTTATAGCCTGAAAGATTAATAAATATAATGTAAATATATAGGAATAAGAGAAAGATGTGTAATATTAGCGATACATTCTATTAATATTGCTTAGTTAGTATAAGAGAAGAAATTGACAGTTTTGTATTATGTTAGTATATAAAGCATGCCAAGTATGAATCTTACGACGTTCACAATATACCAAAATTAGTACATATAGCAGCATGAGATGTGTACTAGAAGATTATAATACATTTAATGTAAGACCTATAATATAAATTTAAAGAAAGTATATAATAATGAAAGTATTAAAATGGCAACGCATGGGGGGTATCATGGGCGAAACAGTATACTCTGTTATGTCCATGGTACTGCTCATGTCTATAGGCGACAGTTACCACTTTCCATCAGGTGGGCCGTCAGCTTGTTTGCCATTCTAAGTTGTATAAAAAAAAACATAGTATTAAAATGGATGGATGTGAAAGGGGACACCCGAAGAAAAGGTGGATGGATTATGTAAAAAATAATATGCATAAAAACAGGAGTAAGCCCGCAAAAGATAGTTAACAGAATTTGTGGAAGAGGAATACATACTGAGATGATCCCAGATAAATGGGAAAGGACAAGGCAATTATGACTTAAAAGACTTGATTGAAATATATCATACAGAAATATAATTTAAATTCTGGTTATCAAGTGCAAAGCCATGATCATATTGATTTATTTAGCTGTGCATTTGTTGTTGAAATTTACAATAATCTCAGTAACTGTTAACCATCAGGTGGGTCTTTTTTTTTATGATTTGCGGTACAGTATTTAAGGCATCCCGTCCTCGCTATTGGATACGGGTTGTGGAATGCCTTTGAATGGAACGAATGAATACTTGATGGGCGCAATTTAGACGCAATATTAGAAAGATAATAAATAATAGAAAGATAATACCACTTCAGTGGTATAAAAATAAATTGCCAGATTGAGTTCCACATGCTACTGCTTGGAAACCATTGTGGTTAATTCCTTATAAATTGTAAATTCAATAGGAATTCTTCACATCCTCATCTATCATCGCTCACCAGTACTTTTTTTTTAATAGATGATAATGAAATGGTAATCCCACCTGCGCTATCGGTATACATTGGCAGGGCACCCATGAAGGTGAGGATAAAGCAGGTTGTGACGAATTCAACAAGAATTGTTCACATTGGTTTATAGGGGGAACCACGTGGAGGTCGACCTAATAAGGCATATTGCAAGCAATGGGGCTGTCAAACTCCATTGCTAACAATCCATTTCCTCCCCACTCATCAGTATTGGTAGGGCACATACCGATAGTGAAGGCTGGCCCATCAGTTCATTTCTCATAAATACAAACTACTTGTATGTGGGAGGAATGGACTGTTAGTAATGAAGAGGTTAGTCCCCATTGCTATCAATATACCCTTTCAATTCGACCTCCACGCAGTTCCCCCTGGAAACTATAGTGACTAATTTATCCATGAATTCATCACGATGGGCTAACTGACCTGCCTTTTCAACCTCACCTGTCACCTCTAACTGAAAATGGAATGGTAATATACACTTGCAGGTTTACCATGTCATTTTCACTCATTAAAAAAAACTACTAGTATGAGGGTGGCGCCCTCTGGTGGTGGAATGAATGGACACAAACCTTCTGTACTGTGAGGAGAACGTAGTTGTGGTTGTGCGCGGGTGGCGCGTGCGGAAGTGGGTGAATGTGAGGGCGCACCCTCTGGAGCATGGCATCAGCTCGCGCCCGGGCCGCGTCACGGCAGCGCCGCCATCGCGCCGGGACCGCGCCCCCCGCCTCCGCTCCGCCGCCACCAGCGCTCGGGACGTCTCGCACCACGTGGGTCACTCGCGACGTCAACAACACTTCCTGTTGCTGCAACAATCATATATTTCATTAATAATTTGACAATTAAAAATAATAGATACAGTAAATTTTAATGAGAAGTGATTATTATTCTTAATCTTGAAAGGGTACAATTATAGGGTACTAACAATTTATCTTTTTAATTGACTACCGCCTTTTACAGGGCTTTTTAAAAATAAAACTATGCCTATGTTACTGGCTGATAATATAGATTTCTATAGAAGAAGAGAGATTTAAAATAATTGTTAAAATCTATAAAATAATAAAAAATTTCTTTATAATATTAGTTTATTTGAACAAGGATATTAACCCATAAGTTTTCTAGCATATGTGTGTGTATATATATGTGTGTGTGTATATACATATATATATATATATATATAACACAGGGGGCCAACAAGTATGTGGCTCACCTGATGGTAAGTGATCACAGCCGCCCATGATCACCCATGACACTAGTGGCATTGCAGGTGTGCTGCTAGCCTTTTAAAAAGGAATACACTATTTTCTTGAAGGTGATGTTAAAATACCATTATGTTAATGTATGATGGTGGTCAAATATGAAATCTCATTGAACTTCATAATTAAAATAAAAAGTATGATTAAATGACAAAATTCTACATAATATCAGTACCATAACTATTGTAATATGAAAGTTTTTCAAGGTATTTATTATATATTTAACTTGCATGTATATAAAAAGGTACATATGACAGATTTTTTTTTGATGGGTGAAAATCGTATGGTAACCCCGCCTGCGCTAACAGGATACGCTGGCGGAGCACCAGTGAAGGGTGATAGATGAGAATGAAAACAGGCCAGTTAGTCCATCATGATGAATTCTATTATATATAATATATATAATTATAAATATACCAAGATAGTTAAGATCTAGTTAGATATATAAATACAGTATATTTCAAGCAGTATGACACAAATTGATATTGTAATATGGAACAAGTGGAATTGAAACTGTTAAGTGATCTATTAGTGAAGCTGTACATTTTCACCAAAGGAACATTGGTTTAAAACTGACAATTTGAGCCTTCCATACTATACTAACAAACTCACACAGCCGGGACTCTCAACACTTGTTTTCTAATTTTTTTATTGTTCATTTAAATAATACATAATTTCTGTATTAATATTATACTCTATGAATATGCACAACGGCCCAAATGAGAGGCTAAGTGCGGAAAACAGAGTCTTTCTTACATTCTTCTTACTCTATGAATGGAAGAAGAAAATATAAATTGATTTAACATTTTGATTTTGCTCTGTATATGCTTAATTGTATCTTAATAAATATTTATTCACTAGTACAAATATGTGTACATGGCGGACCTAATGCTAAAAGCTTTCTCTCCCAGTCAACCATAGTAACTGTGATACATATTTGTTATTAAAAAAAAATATTCTTAGATTCTTCACTGTGCATTCCATAATTTTAGTAAGTAAACTCCATATTGACACAAATGGAATATTTGAAAAAAAAAAAAAATCTTGATGTTTTTACAGTATTCATTATTTAAATATAAAAATAGATATGTAAATATTCCTATCTTTGGAAGTTCTTCATTTTATTGACCATTATTTTTGTAAAGAGACATGCAAAGATTGTTTAGTAAGCAAGAGAATTTAAATGATAAATAATACAAAATGGAAACTGAACAAATTTTCTGATTCAATACCACTCGCACAAACAGTGAATTATTCCCATTTCGGATTTGTAGTCAATATATACCATTTATTTAAATAACTTTATTAACCAAATGAATGTAGGGAACAAAAGGTGGAATTAATGCTAGTAGCATTCTCTTCTAGTCAACATTTTGACAGTAAAATACTATGTTTTAATTGTTTGTTACAGCTTTACTCATAAAATTTTATACAATAAGTATCTACAATCTGATATGTGTTAACAATACTGGTTCAGCCATAATTGTGTGATTGAATAACAAACATCTTTACAGATTCACATTTATAATATTATTAGGATCAAGAAATTTTATTGTACACTGCAAAAATTTAAGTGCCAACCCTAATAGGTATTCAAAGATGTCAATTCACATAATACTTGTATGGCAACATAATGTTAATGTCATCATTTTCTGACATATGTATATATAAACTATGTTATGATAGTCAGCACAACGTGTTTAAATCTTGCTTACTATGTTATACAAAGTGGACTGTGGTGCAATTATGCTGACAAAGAGAAAATAAGTTGGAAGGTATTCTTAGAAAAAGTCCCCACACATAGTACTGAGAAACAATGGCATTACAAGGCGCGGGCGAGCATTCGTGAGGTACCGACGCGACACGGCGACACATCATACAGTTTTCCTCGAAACACGGCCGACGAGGCGTAGTATGGACGCTGCCGGCCGTGGCGTAGCGCCCTACACCGCTCCCGCCAATCGTCCCGCGCAAAAAAATAACACACCACACCAATTCATATCAAACTAAACCCTAGTACGCTTGCCATAAGAATCACATCTCTTTGATTACAGAAAAGCAATATCAACTGTCAAAAATCAAGCATATACACGCGTAACCCAAAGGAAACTACATTTCAAACGGCTTTTAAAATGGATGTAGTGCACTGTAGCACGAGAGAGCGCGGCGCGCGGCCTCGGCCCGTTGCATTTAGCGCTGCGGCAGTGGCTCTAACGCGACAGTACAAAAGATGACCTAAAATCGAATGTGAGCTACACGCTCCACGGGCGAATACACGACTGTTTAAAACTATTTTCTAAACAATTCTGACACAATCGCTGTGTCGGCAAATATTCGTAAGTAATATAGAGCATATATACTTACACAAAAGCCGTCCGCGAGAGCCCCGCAGCCCGCTTATCACAAAAATAAGTAACTATATACTAGTCACTGAGACGGGCACTTCGTCACTATTAGATATACCACGAATTTGCAATGTATTACAACACAAGAACTTCCCACAATGTATAATGTAAATTTTTATTGCTTACGATGTAACACAAACACTTTTTAATGTCATTTACGCACAATAACTAAAAGAAAATTGAAAAAGTAACAACAAACACAAATCTGACACACACAAGATGGAGATATTTCGTGATAATTTTTGTTTTTGTCGCAAGAGGCGCTGCCCGCGCTGCTTTTGTGTGGAAGGGGGAATGCTTTCTCATTGGTCGGTAAGGAAAGTGCGTTCCGTTCTATGGTAATTCTTTTCACGTAAGTATTTAATAAAATAAAATACATATTTTTAAAATTTTATTTTATGGTAAAATAAACACATTTAATACTTTCTAAATATATACTAACAGACAAGGTTTCATATTAAATTAAGAGATATAATATCAGAACAACATAAATTAAATTAAAAAATCGTTCATGACATTCTAGATTCGAACTTCGTATATCCGAATGTAAATAATATGACCAAATGTAGTATGCCGTTAAAATACCCAGAGAAATGGTTAATCGAACGTTATACGTAAATAAATCATATTATAAATGCTATATAGCTAACCAAAAATGCTACGTACACATAAATATAGTATTGTGTACTTATTACAGATTTTGGCGGTAAATTAACACAAAATAATTAGACACTTACCATACCCATATCTTGTATCCTTCGTGATATAGATCTAGCAAGCCCTTGATCTTGTACATCCAAATAGAAACAAAAGTTTCTTCTAACTGCAAAAGTCGGAGATTAACATTATGTCGAAAATAAACAGTACAAATATAATAATAACATAAACGTTGAAATATGGCGCACCTCGGTTGTATTTTTCACTAAGATTCAACGTCGAAACCATCTTTGTTTAATTATTGTATAGTACACCATCACAAGCGTAATTCTTCAAAATAGTGAATTATATATTTATAGACACATATTTCAGTATTAGACAAATCATTTTGTATGAAATAATTATATAAGTATCTATTATTCGAATTTTTTTTTGCAAAATTCATTTCTTAGATTACATACGTTTCAAACGTCGAAAACCTAAGAAAATCGAAATGTCAATGACAGCTGAGTGTCAAAGACAACAGAATCTTGTACGATCTATGGTTTATTAATCGATATTAAAAATCGATACCATATGCTTTTCTCTTTCCTTATTTCCTACTTCTTTGTTTGTTCCCACATTTGATTTTATGTGGTTATATATACGTAGTTAATATAATTTTAAACAATCTCTGAACGTTTATAGACAATTCAAATAAGATTTCATCAATTAAATTAATTCCAGCTCTTCTTACATAAAATCAATACACCCTAAGTACCTAGTTCTATAAGAATATTATTTTTTAGAAGTTCACTATCACTGAATGTACATAATAAACTATTTACTTTGTCTACATTCTATAGAATTTATGAATCCTACATGTACTTGCTACAAACCACAGAATATGCAATTAGAACACTGTCTGAAGAGCTTTTTCCTTACACTATGACTATAGCTAGTATATAATATACGTAAAGTTACATAACACATTTTTAAGTAAGTACCTACATAAGATATACAGTTAATTCTGATAAACTGTGAAGTCATTACAACGTGTAGGTACATATTAGTTTTATGAATATGCCTTAATGTTAAAGGTGATTTTTATCTAACATTTAAAAGTAAAATAGCTTTTTACTTTTCGTTATCCTGCATTTTATTGTAGGTAAAATGTCGAAGTACCTACAAAGCGCTACTCCGGTAGGTACAGAGCTCGGCAGGCGGTACAACAGGGAGTATATAGTTACGTATTTTATTGATTGCTCGTGTTTGTACATATATACCGAAGTGGACGCTCGTCACGTAGGTATATCTATTGCAAACACCCGTTTGGTTGGTTACCAATATAGAATGTGTCTACCTACCTATATATATGAAAAGCATAGACATACATCGTCTAGATATAGATCCTAGTAGATATTCTGATTATACTTAAATGATACATAACATAGATATTAATAGATGTATAGATAGATATAATAAATAATGAAAGTAAATAAATCTGTAAATAACATACGTTAGATTAAGAAATTTTCTCTGTTTACATATTCATTTTTTATATTTATAATAGATATAAATAAGTATGATTTGCCTATGCAAGGAAATAGACAAAGATAGGCACACTATCGAATATAATCCAAAGAGTGGGTACGTACAAAGGTATTATTTTATCTATGGTACAGTATCTACCTACAAATTTTTCATAAAATTCAAAATTTTTTTAACCAATTTTGTATTTATGTTACTGTATATATTTTGTATTTGAATTTATTTAAAAGAAACAGGTTAGGACTGTTCTTATGGAAAGACATTAGATTCAGTTCATATGATTATCGGTCATCTCCTTACTCTGCCAGTACTACATAAAAAGCATTGTGGGTCGAACGGGCTTGTTCCTGTGTTAATTTTGTGGTAGATGTATCATATCGTATCATACTTACCTACTAACCTTCTTAAGTTTTTAATTAAATGATTTTTTTAAACAAATAAATTACGTTAGAAAAATTTTAAATTGAAATTAAAGAGAAATGTAATTACTTTTAAAACGAAATTAAATATATATATTATACTGCGTTTATGAATAGGTCATTCCTGTTTGGTGCTCAATCGCCTAGAAACATATTTTAATTATTTGGATAGTCCGTTTTTTGCGCAGGAATTTCTAACGTCTCAAAAACAATTGAGGATGAAGCGCCTTAAGTAGGTACCTATTTATGTATATAACCCCTTTTGAAATATTCTAGGCCTTCGCTTGTTTCGCTAGAGATCGATGTAGTTTACATCTTATCTATTATATACACGGGTTTTATTGGTTATATACTTATATCGTGGTAAAAATTGTACACTCATGTATGTCCCTGAGAGTAGTTACGAAATCGTTACGTAGGTATGATGTTGCCGAACTCACCCACCTCAAAGTTCATTCCTCCGTGCTCAATAATTTATTCTACTCGATCATAGATGGAGCTTCACATATATCTCAATAATATTTCACAAGATGGCACTATAAAAAACTTTCCAATATAATTTGTATAAATAAAAAGAAAAATATTGTATTCAACAAGATGGAAAAATCTTGTTTCTAGAATGAAATTGAAAATTGTTCATTGGTAAGTGCATCATCTGAGAATCGTAATAAATCGTAAATTGAAGTTTTATAGAAAGAAAAACAAAATTTGAAATTGACAGCGTACACTAGCGTGTTATATAAAAAAAAAATACATTACGCATTATGATCTCGTTTCCAACTATTTTCAATAAACTTCAAAAAAAGGAACTACTCAATTCGGTTGTATTTTTATATTTGTAATCTTATGGCTCCATACATTTAACTGTACCTCTACCGGAGAGTTTCGCAAACTTACTTCGATAGAATGTTATTGAATAGATGTAAAATCAATTGCAAAGTAAATCAGTACTACACACACTAAGTACTGAGAACAAAATAATTGTGGATTTAGTTATTGTCTATGGGCAAGGATTATTGTTTATTAATTCTGTCATACGCTTGGCGGGTGTTATATAAAAAAAGATACTCCGTGGATGCTATTCACGTCTCTTAGGCATTGATTACCACTTTTGTTCAGGCATCATCGTGTAAGCCGTTAACTCTCTACTGCTAAACATAATCGTCCCCCATAAGGGGGATTTGCCAATTGTTGGCACACTGAACAGGCGAGTTAGCAACTGCCAGATTATTAGAGGGAGACTTTGTACAATAGTCGATTGCTTGAGTACCTCTGTCTCATTCGTGTTTCTACCGTGAAACAGTTGTGTTTGCATGGCTGTGTTTCGGTTTGAAGGGTGGGCGTGAATTTACAGAGTACAGAGGAATATAACCTGAGTCCTCAGGAATGGCAACGCATGGGGGATATCACGGGCGAAACAGTATACTCTGTTATGTCCATGTTACTGCTCATGTTTATAGGCGACGGTTATCACTTTCCATCAGGTGGACCGTCAGCTTGTTTGCCATTCTAAGTTGTATAAAAAAAAAGTAAAAAATTCTACATTTTGTAGCAATATAATGTACAGATGTGGTGAATAACAGTACAGTTAGTAATATAAACATATCGTCATAGTCGTAGAATACTGACGGATCTATATATCGTCATAGTCGTAGAATACTGACGGATCTATATATCGTCATAGTCGTAGAATACTGACGGATCTATATATCGTCATAGTCGTAGAATACTGACGGATCTGCCGTATATTACATATAAAGATCCGTCAGTATTCTACGACTATATAGTAAGACTGTTCTTTTCCTCTTTTCAGCTGATTTCATGCGAAAAATAAGACTATTAGAATAATTTGGGATTTTGTTCCACGAAAAATACCGACGTTCGTTTGATTTAAAAACTATTGAATCAATTTAGACAGAATTTGTATGGGACCAATCTGAGAGTACATTGTTTTAGATAAAAAAAAAAAAAAAATCCCAATCAGTTTATAAAGGACAGTTATAATTCCTTCTTTTTTGAAGTAGTTTAAAAAGGAACATACCACGGTCAGTATCGATCTATCTTTATCTCGTATCAGTATATGTGAGTTTGTTTATTACCTTATAGCTCCTTACGGTTTAACCAATCATTATACACGTTTTGATATACACGTAATATATGGGATGGTGAAGGGCATAGGTTCAGATTATATAGATAGAATGTCTCCATACAAATGCTTCGTGAAAAGCGGAACAACTTTTTCATACAATTTTGCGTGATAAATAGTTACGAGTGATTCCTTTATAACTTCTATATTTATTGTATCTCATAAATTCTGCATATTTTCAATGCGTAAAAAGTCAATTTATTTATTGAATAATTAAATATAGATACGTCAAGATACATTGTGTATGCGTAAGTATATAGAACATTAATAAAAAGCGAGTCAGCTAATTTGACAATTGGCTGACAAAAAATTTACTCGTTTTTTAACCCTTAAAAGCCTGATTTTTAAATCAAATTTAAAAATATATAAGTGTACCCTTTACTGTGTTTACTAATGGGGAAAAATAGTAAAAAAAAAAAAAAATCAAAACGAAATTTTTTTTTTTATATATTTTGAAAAAACATTTGGTAACATGTAAACAGCCAAATATTAAAAAAAAAAAAACGATTGTAGGCGCCCAATGCAGTTTATAACCCCGGTATCAAATTTGAAACTTCAGGTATTTAAGGGCTCGATGTTCTATCTGTATAATCTAAGGATATAGGTTAATTTTTATTGTTGTCACGCGAACGAAGTCGCGTGTAAAAGCTAGTATTATATAAATTTACGGGTATGGGACGTTTTTTATTTGTGTTGTAGTGATGTTCATGGTTCCCGCCTTTTTTGTGTGTAGTGTTTGGGTAGGTAGCGTGATATAGGCAAGGGTAAGAGACTGTACAAAAATCGTTTTCTTGGGTATCTCTGTCCCATTCGTGTTTCTACCGTGAAGCAGTTGTTTGCATGGCTGTGTTTCGATTTAAGGGTGGGATATGGCAGTGTATTTACAGGGTACAGAGGAATAATACCTGAGTCCTCAGAAATGCCAATGCATGGGGGGTATCATGGGCGAAACAGTACACTCTATGTTCATGGTACTGCTCATGTCTATAGGCGACGGTTACCACTTTCCATCAGGGTGACCGACAGCTTGTTTGCCACTCTAAGTTGTATAAAAAAAAAAAAACAACAAAACCCCACTTATGTTACATTTATATTGAAATAAAAATTAATTCAACATTTTACAATAATTATAATATACATAGGCATTTGTAAAAATTCTTATTAAATAGTACATGATTGAGTAATAGAGGAGTTGACAAAACGAGATAAGTTATAAAAATATATGCGTGCGGAGAGGCTGCGTTTGGAGTTTGGCATTGTTATTTAGCAGGACGCGAGCGCCTCTAGCGGTAGAAAGAACAATTACTATAAACAAACTAAATTTTAACGATTTATTCCTTATAGTAACATTATTGTCCGTAAATTGTAAATAATAGTAGTAGCTTGAAATATAATAAAATATATATTTATTACACCAATAAGTGGATTTAAATTGTACCGCTAGAGAGAGGCAGTAGAGCGATTGTTACGCATGAATGCTGAATTTATTGCGTTTTATAATAATATGAAACAATAAATGGCAACTATTAAAACGCCCTATAGAAATAAAATACTTAAAAAACAAAATAACTTAATGCGATCCTTGTAAATACCTCATTTTTTTTTTACATATAAAATTGGCAATATATATTACAACTAATATTAAAATTGTATAAAAAAAAAAATTAGAAATGTTACAGTTCGAAAAGATATTTGGATGTCGTTATTTAATCTTATTTAAACTGCTGAATTGTTTTGAATTAAATTCAGTACAAAGATAGACCATGATCTTAATTAACAACAAATACTTTTTATTTTAATTCATGTGGTAAAAGTGGTTAGCACTAAACCTACCGACATTTCATATATACCTAATCCTATCATGAGCGGTCAAATGACCACTTTAAAATAAAGTATGTATCCTAATATAGAAAGAGACTTTAGCCAATTGGATAGTAAACAAGTAAATAATAGTAAGTTGTAAATATTGAAAAATGGGTTGTATGTATATTACAGGAAAAGCCAGTAAGTTACATGGTGATACAGGAACGTTGTACATGAAAATTTTTTAATTAAATTTCAAAAACGGTCATTTGACCGCGCTTGGTAGGTTTAGTGTTAAACAGCTAGTAGATTATTAATGTAAAAGAAAGAAAAAAAGAGAGAAAGAAAAAGAAAGAAAGAAAACGAATTATTAAAAGCCGAAAGAGCACACCAATTCGAAATAGTGATATTTTAAATTAAACTAAACTTCTATTAATTTGATTTTCGTAAAAAATAATAATAATACGCAAAAAATATATATTTAGATCGTCTGTTACATCTGTTTGATCTATAAAACCTAAATGTATGCCACATTAGTTGCGTCGCATGAATCATAAATGAAATCTTAAATTGTAGTTCACAGGCTTACAGATTGTCGCATTCACAAACTATGGTGGCGTCATTAAAATGATTGCAATATGGTCATAACAACAACAGTACGTCACCGTATATTAATTAAAAAAGGTAATATTCAATTTACATTTGCACTAATAACATATATTACAATTTTTGGCATATAAAAATATATCACAACAATGTAATATTTAACAGCAATAAAAACAAAACAATATCTACATATTTATAAATACAGAATGTCACAAAATGGCGCGTAAAATGTCAAATGTCATTATTGTATAAAACGTACTCCAAATATGGCGTCTCCGCACCCTCTGAATCAAAATATCACGACACTAATTATTATATTATACATTCACACACCATTCAATCGAACGCGCGAAATTACAATTCAAAACGTATATTCTATATTCACGTAATCAGTCTCAAATATAGAACTCATAGTCACGGACAAAATTTTTTTTTTTTTATTTTACATCTCGTTTACGTCAAAGTATCCATTGGTCGACTAATTAGAGGCGGCAACGCCTTATCTATGGCCAGCACGCGTTAGTGCGATTGGTCATCGTCGTTTTGCTCGCCGTTGGTGCCGTTAAGAACGAGTGAGACGAGCGGTTTGATTGGCGGCGCTGGTATCACCTGTGAACAGACGTTAAAAGAGTAAGTTTTTTTTTTAGTGAATGAATCATAGGCACCAATTTTAAAGTGCTAAATCTCCATCTATAAAATTGACAATTCAATTTGATATTACAGTGATATATTTAAACAAACGACTAACACCAACTAAAATAATTATAGATTTGAGTTAGAATTAATTAAATTTAGTTTTTATTACGTAACGGAAACGACGGTCCTAATGACCGAAAAGAAAAATTTATTCAATTAAAAAAAAATCACTTTTGTTTTTAGAATTAATTTTTTTTAAACGGAAAAATTCTTATAACGACTCACAAGGAATTTTCATATTTTTAATTTTTAATTCAAAAATTAATATCTACTGTTGTGTATTATAAATTGTATCGTATGTGTATAGCAATAAGATATACTCACAGAGGGTTTGGGCCGGTGCGTGTCGACCGCGGCGACTGAGAGCGCGATATGTTCCTCTCGGCAGCCGTACGCTACCGGCGTCAGTTTGATCACCGTGTGCAGCGGCACGTGCAGGTACGGCAGCTCCTCTGCGGGACAACTTGCGCGTCATACACAGGGAACGCCTGCTGGCACGTTCCCGTGTATGACAGCGTGCGTTACTTACATAGCGCCATATTGGCTAACTGAAAGAGCGCTATAAGATAGACAGATAGATAGATAAACACTTTATTTGAGCCATTTTTGACACATGTAAATTAACAAATGAGTTTACACTTCACACAATCAAATTATTTACATTTTTTTTTAATATAAAACAAAAGATAAAATATGATAATATGTTTGTCGCAGTGACCCAAATAGGCTACAGCTCAGTGATAGTTTTGCTTAAAAGCAAAGCACTGATTTTCAGCTGCAGCCTGAAGTAAGGCTACATAGACGCGTACAACCATTTTAATTTTATTTTCCACTAGAAAAGAGAAACAGTTAAGTTTTTACTTATTCTTTCTACGGATTCTGCATTTAGTGGAGTTCGTATTTATTTATTTATTTATTTATTTAAATACATTCATGTACATTCTATTTTTAAATTTATACATATATAACATACATGTCTGTCACGCCTGTCTCCCATTAGGGTAGGCAGAAACAACGGAACGCCAAATGCTTCGATTCAAACAAACCTCTTTCGCTTCTTCCACATTCATCAATCTTTTCATACACGCTCGCTGGTTACGGGCACTTTCAATTTGGCCCTTCTAATTTCTTTTCTTAAGGATAAGAAGGAGGACAAGCTGAAGTGGCAATGGGCTGGTCATATAGCTCGAAGAACCGACAACCGATGGGGAAGAAAGGTTCTTGAGTGGCGATCGCGTACGCGCAAACGCAGTATAGTACGATCCCCCACTAGATAAAGTAACGACCTAAATTTCATTGTAGGCAGTCAGTGAATGTAGGTGGCTCAAGATCGCCGTTGATCATTGCTCACAGGTTTAACAGTGCCAGATACGGGGGTGTCCGATGCCACCTAAGTAAGGAAAGGCCCAAAGGAGGGGTGGCTTGCTTCGCTTCCGGCACGTCCTCCACAATGGTGGTTCCGGGAGTAAGGCTCCCCCCCTGACAAAGCGGGGGGATGAGCAACGGTGTAGGCGTGGCTGCGGCGTAGTATAAACATCGGGACCGCAACCATGCTGCTATAAGCCGAAGCCGAGGAAATGAGCCGTGGGGTTTTAGCTGGTAAGAGTCCGGCAGTACCCGCACGCCTCCCCCGGGGTGTGCGGGTTTCCCCATGAGGATTGAGGATTTCCCCACGTTAAAAAAAAAGGTGGCTCAGGACTGTTATGGCAGTCTATGGGAAAGGCCTATGTCCAGCAGTGGACAGATAATGGCTGAAATGATGACGATGACAATTTCTTACCTTCTTATAACTTTTAACAATTACTTCCCTCAGGTTACATCACTTACCGGCAGACTTGTCCAGGAAGTAAGCGAGCAGGCACCGCATCACAGCCTGGTGGGAGACCACCAGCACGTTCCCCTGGCGCTCCAGCTCCATGATGACGGGCTCTAGCCGCGCCACCAGGTCCTCGTAGCTCTCGCCGCGCGGATACCGGTACGCGAACTTGTTAGCATCCCGGGCGTTAAAGTCCGAGGGATATTTCTCTTGGATTTCTGCGTATGTCATCTCTTCACATATACCCTGTAATAGAAAGATGTAAATGTTAAGCTTAGTTGCCAATTTTGTGTAAGAGTGGCGCCCCCTAGTGTCAAGAGTTTCTATGCCGTTTTCATTGTTCACTAAGGCCTCTTGGTGAACTGTATGATGATTTTACGTAATTTTTAAATGATCTAAATGATAAATTTAAAATTGCCAGACTAAGTTTAGCGGTTTATAGTTACTGCAGCGGCCAGCAACTGAGGCATTGATGGACGAACGTGCAAATGTGGGTCGAGGTGTAGCCGAGGCACACATACGTGAGTCCATCAATGCCTAGTTATGGCCAAGGCTTGTATAGTACTTTTCTCAAATAATGCGCGGAAATCAAAAACACAATTTTACTTTTTAGGTTCAATGACGAATAACGAACAATAATAATTTTTCACGCGCCATAATGTTCCCTTGTTTTTTTTTTTCAATAAACAGCTTTCTAATTGCAAATCAGTTCGAAATTTAAATAAAACCTTTTATTAGTTATCTCCTTGGTAGCCATATTTCGAAGTAAAAGGTCATTCCATTTATAAATTACAGGACAGATATGAGTTTACATAGTAATTTATCTGGCCGCAAAACACGACAGATATGGATTTTCATATCTGGCCAGTACGGCAATTTTGATTTATCTCGAAGAAGATTGTCAAAATAATGGTCACATTTCCGAACATGTTTGAGAAAAAAAAAATTCTCCAAAACTGGATCTATAAACTATTAAGAATGAGTATATCAGAGGAAGTATGAAAGTAGTGCCAGTGATAGAAAAAGGAGCAACCAGTCCTGGTGTGAACATGTGATGCGCAGGGATGGGGAGCGTGTTTTAAGATGGGTATTAAGTATGAATGTGGATGGCCGTAAGATAAGATAAAGATATATTTATTTAATGTAAGAACAACCGGATTAAATTACGTGTACTTTAGTCGAGAACGTTCGACTAGTTTCGGGACCATTTAGTCGATAATTGTCGATTAAAATACACATAAGTTAATCCGGTTGTTCTTACATTATAATATGTACTTACAAAACTTTTAACAGTAAAATATGCAGGGATTTACTGACGCTAAGCATTAAGACAAAAATAAACTTACCGCATCAATCTCGTTGAGCGCCTTCCACCTCTCCTGGGGTGCCTTCACGTCCTTGACGGTCTGGATGGCCCTCTTCATCCACGAGGTCCACACCCTAAGGCCGGGGATCTGCTGTTGCTCGATGTAGGAACTGAGCGCGCTTGCGTACTGCCGGCCTCGTGGAGACAGCTCGCTGTCACCGCCGATGCGGCCCACCATGTTGTGAAGGCTCTCGCCGTGCTGTCAACATTATGCAGTATGAAATAAAATCTTCATTATGGTTGCTAACCATTTAACCCTTGGATTATTATTTATGCGAACTATTAGTCCCATTTGCTAGCAATATACTCTATCAGGTCGACCTCCACGTGGTCCCCCCTGGAAACCGTCATGCTAAATACTAGGTGTATTTTCTTTTTCTTTTCCTCACTTATCACCCCTCACAGGTGTCCCGCCAGCGTGTACCGTTAGCGCAAGCGGGGTTATCATTCCTTATTCATCCATTAAAAAAAAATCATTTAACCCTTAGCTGCCACAGTTCAAACTCGTAACATAGCGTTACATACTGGGCTATATTTATGCCATTCGAAAAAGTCGATCTGGGAAGTCGAATATGTAATATTTGGCTTCAAATTAATTCATAGGAATTTTATAACATATCTTTCTCTTTTCTAATGGTAGTAACTTACATCCTTGACTATCGGTAGATGTCGCACGAAATTCATTTTCAACTACATTCATGTCGTAGTTTTTAAATCTTTAAATTGTGTTTATTTTTGCTTGTGGTGAATACTGACCCCATTTTAGCCTCAATATTCACTTAGTTAAAAACGTTAATAACAAAAGTTACTGCTAACGATATTTTGTATAATATATAATTTATTATACTCTTTAAACAATTGATAACGCATTTTTTTTTGCAACTTAGAATGGCATACAAGCTGACAGCTCACCTGATGAAAAGTGGTAACCGTCGCCTATAGACATGTGCAGTACCGTGGACATAACAGAGTATATTGTTTTGTCCATGATACCCCCCATGCGTTGCCATTCCTGAGAACTTGGGTGTTATTTCTCTGTACCTTGTAAATTCAGTGCCATATCCCACCCTTCAAACCGAAACACAGCCATGCAAATACAACTGCTTCACGGTAGAAGCACGAATGGGACAGAGGTATCCTAGCAAACGACTTTTGTACAATGTCGCCCTCTGGAATTTACCGTTAATGATGAAATTTATCGTTAATAACGACTTGATTAAAATCATTAATCACCACTGAAACATAAAATTAGTAACCACTCATTTTGTATAATTTTTTTTAACATTTAGTTAGAACCATAACTAATGAAAGATAACGGTAACCATTTGAGTAAACATTCAAAAACGGATTTCATTCACAGATTGTTTAAAATAGTTCTTAAACTATGGCGTTTTACAACTATGGCAACACTTACCCTTGTCAAATAAATGGTTCTCGGTACAATATGTATATTCATGAGATAGTACACGATCCGGCTCTGTATGTGGCCCTCGTGTTTGTGCACCACCACCTTCTCACCGGTGTCGTATATCTTCATGAAGCTGTACTCCGACTCCAGACTCTCGTCCAGGGGCTCGTATTTCTCTTTGTAATGCTCTATTCGGAGCATGAAGTCGTTTAGTATGTCTGTGTTTTGAATGTTCGTGTAGTCTGGACTGCTTACTTTTACTTCCTGAAATTATAGATAGATAGATATTCTTTATTGTTTCCTCCAAAGGATTACAATAGTACACTTATTATAAATATAAACACAAAAAATAATCACAATGAGAAAACAATAGGCGACGTTATAGCTTAAAGCGATCTCTTCCAGGCAACCTTTGGATGGAGAGGAGTAACTATAAACAGTTTGATCGGAGGCACAATTAAATTCTATTAATTCTTAATATAGAGATGTGATACATGTAATAATGTAAAATATATATCCCTACTCATTATATACACTTATATACTATTATATATATACATTATATGTCATCACCATCATCATATCAGCCTTTAACTGTCCACCGCTGAACATAAGCCGCCCCCTTGGGGGGTTTTGCTAGTAATTGCCACACTTGACAATCACAGTTAGGTTTTAGCGATGTTTTAAGAGGGACGCTGCTGCCCATCCCTCGTCCTCCCTTAGTCGCCTCTTACGACACCCACGGGAAAGGAAAGAGTGGCCTATTCTATGCCGGGATCACATGACCGCACGAAATTATATTTGGTTTCAATTTATCTGAATTTTTATGGCTATTTTGTCCAAAATTTTTAATAGGATTTATTGTTACGTACAATGGCGGATGGAACGCGGTATTTGCCGCCTATAGACATGAAAAACGACAGAATCTCATACATTGTTATTCCTGAGGACGGTGGTGTTCTGTACCATGTAATTGTACCGAAACACCAATGTAAGCACTCCACTGCAGAAATGCGTATGGGAATAAGATTACATAACACTATATTTAAATTAACGCGTAAATTCTCGTCTCTAAAACAATAAGATCTTTAGATAGATAGATAGATAGATATTCTTTATTGTTTCCTCCAAAAGACTACAATAGCAAACTCATTATAGATACAAACAAATTACAAGAAATAATCACAGTGAGAAAACAAATGGGTAACCTTATTACTAAAAGCGATTTCTTTCAAGCAACCTTTAGATGGAGAGAAGTAATTATAAACAGTTTGAAATTAAATTAATTTAATAAATTTAAATTTACGTCACAAGGGTTGACAACGCGTAAATGGTGTTGCAAGCTTTCGTGTGATGTTTCTCACCAGATTGATAGGAACGAAAATCATTAGAATCATTGACAGACTAACCATGATATTCTGCTCAATGATGGTGGGATCATCACATATGGATTCGACGAAGAACAGTTTGAAGCCCATCTTGTGTACCACGATGTCGCGGATCATGCGCCGCCGGTCCAGCGTCGAGTTCGTCGCGTCGAACACCTGCATGCAAATTAATAAAAAAAAAAAAAAAAAAATTAATAGATTGAATCCTAAAATTCAAGACAAATTAACTCAAACATTACAGATTTATTGTGCGTAATTCAAAGTTCCGTCTTCATAATGACGATGATCATGACATTGATCGCTGGTCTAATGAGACAAGCCATCAATGTCATAATATTGTATTGTTACATATGTATGAGCTTACATATGTATGCCAAATTTCAGTATAAATGAATAACAGCAAGTGGCCAAATTATAGATTAAAAAATTTCAAATAGAGAAATTAAAGCAAGTTAAATAAAAAAGAGGGAAAACATTAGTATAATATAATCTAGAGATATAAGTATTATACATTAATAATAATAATAAAGTGTTTAAGCGCTGGTATTTGTTGTCAATTTATATTTGAAGGACTTTCGTTAGTATAACTATATTGTCAACATGATGATAGGACGGACTATATATAATTAGAAAACAGTATTTTGTGACCTATGTAAGCCCTTTGATCGTGTACACCATATATAGCTTAAAAACTAGTTTTTTTATGGTACCACAGACAGTGCTTTGAACTTAATCAAATCATATTTATTAGAAAATATGCATAAAATAAAGTAAATTACGTTATATCTAACGGGTGTCTTGTACGATGGGATGTATCTCAAGGATCTATTCTGGGCCCATTCCTATTTTTATTTATCTACTAGCGACCCGCCTCGGCTTCGCACGGCTGCACCTTATATCACATCACATTTGAAACCACTAAAATTATCAGTGTTCCTCCACTATATTATGCATGTATTATACATATAAACTTTCCTCTTGAATCACTCTATCTATAAAAAAAACACATCAAAATCCGTTGCGTAGTTTTAAAGATATAAGCATACATAGGGACGTACAGACAGTGACAGCGACTTTGTTTTATAATATATAGTGATTTCTGCTTCTGATACTGTATGTAATTAGGAATTCATATCACCATACCATCATCGTTTTCATCATACTTCATCAACTATGGAAAGAGTTACTCACAGCCACTTCTCCGCCTTTGACGAGCCACTCGCAGACGTCGTGGAGCGCGTCGAGGGCGCACTGCTGGCGTATCGCCATCGCCTCCTTGTTGTCCGCGCGGAAGAACTCGTGGCTCGTGTACGCTGTAGTGGCATGCCGCCTGTACTCGCCCAGGTTAAACACTGCCGGCAGATAACATTGCTTATCTATAGATTATCTAGGGGTACGCTCAAAACATACAAGAATCTAAATAACATAGGGCATAATGGGTTCAAGACGATATTGTATCTCTGCACTGGTCAGGCCTGGACACAAGGGGCACCGAGGTAAGAATTTAGACACGTATTTGGATCAATGAAGGACCACAACCAAAACGTTGGACTTGAAGCGGAACGTTAGTCCAGGGATACTTCAGTAAAACACGTCAGTGAAGACTTTATTTTTTTTCGTCGTCGTTAGAGGGGCACCGTTGTCAACTTTACAGGGGCTCTAGGTACTAAGCTCGGCCCTGCCCAAATTTATCAAAGGCAAATTTTCAAAATATTTCAACATTAACACGTTCACGCCGGGGCCGACTTTAATGTTTTTGCTGCGAGGCGGCGCTCTAATTGATGCTACGCTTCATGAATACGTACCACCGGTGGTACGCGCCGCCAGAAAAGACAGTCTAGTGCGGGCCACCGGTGGTACGCGCTGCCAGATAAGACAATCTATTGCGTACCGCCGGTGGTACGCGCCGTCCAATGAGACAGTCTAGCGGGGGCCACCGGTGGCCCGCGCCGGCGTGAACGTGTTAACCCTTTGCACTTGCACAGCGGCGCTGATACGGCGCCCGGCCGATTCGAAAAGGCAACTCGAGCGGTGATGCTGCGGCGCCCGAGTGTTTTAAAACTTTAAATCGAACTACGCTGCTATGACGCTGTGGTCTTTTGTAACTGGATCTCCTTATTTACAATATGCGATAAGATAGTTTTTTCGGAAGTACTTTCGTGGACTAGGCTCTGCTTATATTGCAAGCGAAAAAGGCCTCGAGTGCAAAGGGTTCAAAGATGAAAATTACAATATCAAAGTATCATAATAAACATCTTTACTTATTAACAAAACTCTTTGATGTTTTGAATTCATTGATGTTTTAATGTAATAACTACCAGTTTCAATTACGTGTAATTAGGTCGAGAAAACTCGATTAGTTTCGGAACCATACAGGGTCTAAACTAATTAATCGAGCTTCCTCGAACTAATGACACGTAAGTTTTTTTCTTTATGAATGTAAATGGTATGATAACTCCGCCCGCGCTAACGTGATACGCTGGCGGGGCACCAGTGAAGGATGATAGATGAGAATGAAAACAGGCCAGTTAGCCCATCATGATGAATTCATCAGGAATTAACCATGATAGTTTCCAGGGAGAACTGCGAGAAGGTCGACCTGGTTGGGTATATTGCTAGCAATGGGATTTTCAATCAAACGTGAAGTGAGCCATATATTTATTGTATTTTTAAATTTATTTATATTTATAGTTTTATTGGCAAAGTTTTCTAAAATTATTGATAAAACTTTTTGACGTTTAATTTTATTAAGTCATTTTTATCGGTCCCCGTATGTTTCAGATCTCTAATAAATACAATAATCAATTGAATTGAACTAAAATTTACATATTTATATTTAGTATTGTGTTATATCTTCTGCATTTGTAAGAGTGCGTTTTGATTAAAAAAAAATTGTCTAAAAATTGATACGTTTTTTACACTTGGTACTCTGCGCTAAAAACAAAGTTTGGCTCTGAGTATCTATATAATCTATGATTAGAAGTTACAACTTTTTATATAGATTTGTTTTTTTTTTTACTGACTCCATAGACAACATATTTTAAACGTAGAATTAGAAAAAATACGATTTGAGTTATAATAATCTGTCCCTTTCCATTTCACGTAACATTACGAACAAATAGAAGAGACAGAAACCAACGTATTTTTATGAACAAGGGGAACGTGTGAATTTATCAGTACCTCCTTTTGCACTTAACACCTTATCAATCTTAATGCTCCTCAAATTACAAATCAATTGATGAATAAACAAGAGCAGCGATGCCGCGGACGCGGTGCGGTTGTTTACTGCACTGCGCGCGTCACCGCACGCTTACAATCCGATAGTTATTTGTACTGTTTGATGTTTATCCATGAAGAATAACACTGTCATTGTATTTCTATTAATAAGTTACAGGGAAACAAGTTGTTTATTTTACAAAAACCCTACGTGAATTTACTGGATACAGAGGAATAACACCTGAGTCCTCAGGAATGGCAACGCATGGGGGGTATCATGGGCGAAACTGTATACTCTGTTATGTCCATGGTACTGATCATGTCTATAGGCGACGGTTACCACTTTCCATCAGGTGGGCCGTCAGCTTGTTTGCCATTCTAAGTTGTATAAAAAAAAACGTGGGAGAGATTTAGTAAAATCAACAACTTGTTTAAAGAGAGGGGTGTTATAAGTTTGACGTGTTTATCTTTGACATCGTTATTCCCATATGGTTGTCAAGAATGTGTTTGGGTGTTAGTAATGGGTATAAAAATGTCATTGCTAGCCACCTATGCTATGCTATACACCTTAACAAGTCGAATTTCACGCGGTCCTCCTTGAAAAACACCGTGGTTTTTTTAATGGATGACAATGGGGTCTAGTATAGAAAACTAGATTATCAGCGAGTAACTAAGGCTAACATTTTTTTTAATTCTTTCTACCCGTGCAAAGCCGGGCTGGTCATTGAACAAACAATATCAATCTAACACTAAATAAAAAAAAAATAAAAATATATAATAAAAATTGTATGTATTTTACAAGTTTAGAATTTGTGTAAATCATATCCTAGATGGCCATGTGTCCCGGCATAGATTAGGCCACCCCTTCCTTTCTTTCGTGTCGTAAGAGGCGACTTAGGGAAGTCGAGAAATGGGCAATAGCGTCCCTCTTAAAACATCTCTAAAGCCTAACTGCGGTTGCACATCCGCCTGTCAAGCGTGGCAACTACTGACAAAACCCCCCCAAGGGGGAGGTTTATGTTCAGCAGTGGACAGTTAAAGGCTGATATGATGATGATGATGATGATTACTAAATTATACTTAAATAGTTATATCTATTATATAAGATTATATTATTTTTATGTACGTCTGTATGTGCGTCATTACTTAATTAACAGATTGTCGTAATAAATTCCGAGACGATAACATATTAAAGCATTAATTATATTAAAAATATTTTATATATAAACATATATTCCCCGAAAGGAACAATTAATGATAAACGTATAATTGGAGTGTTTTTTTTTTTTATTCAGATAAAGAGGTCAGTGTAAATTAGTTTTATATTAGTATAGATGTTTAGTGATAATAAATGGAAAAAATAGACATGAATTTTTTTTATACAACCTCACCTATCATCCCTCACTGGTGCCCTGCCGGCGTATCCCGATAGCTCAGGAGGGGTGCTATACGAATTTCATTCCTTAAAAAAAATCACCAAAGCCTAACTGATTTTTTTTATACAACTTAGAATGGCAAACAAGCTGACGGCCCACCTGATGGAAAGTGGTAACCGTCGCCTATAGACATGAGCAGTAACATGGACATAACAGAGTATACTGTTTCGCTCATGATATCCCTTTTCTTCCTTATAATAATAATATAGATAGATAGATAGATAGATAGATAGATACTCTTTATTGTTTCCTCCAAACGATTAAAATAATAAACCTATTACAAATATGTTTATATATTATATATGTATTACAAGAAATAATCACAATGAAAAAACAATGGGTGACCTTATCGCTAAAAGCGATCTCTTCCAGGCAACCTTTATAAATATGTAATTTTTTAAATATATTTAAACTATATTTAAAAAAATATAGATTATTTCTATAATAAACATGCCTATGTATACACACCTCTCGTATTGATTCCTATCCAGTTGAGGTACCGTGACAATTTCTTTGAGATGTAGGTCTTCCCCCGCGCCGGTAGCCCCACCATGGCTATGACATGTGGTATATTCACATAGTTGGATCGTTCCCCTGAAAAAAAAAATTACGTTATAATCTACAGATTTTATATAAAAATGTGGCTGCATATAAATCTCTATGGGGGATTGTTAGTTATGCAAACTACTAGTCTCATTGTTAACAATATACCCTAACAGGTTGACTTAAGGGGGAAAGGGATTGTTAGCAATGGAGTTTGACAGCCCCATTGCCAGCAGTATACTTTATTAGGTCGACCTCCACGTGGTTCCCCCTGGAAACCATCGTGAATAATTCTTGTTGAATTCGTCACGATGGGCTAACTGACCTACTTCATCCTCACCTATCATCCTTCACTGGTGCCCCGCCGGTGTATACCGACAGCGCTGATGGGGTTACTATTTCATTATCATCTATTAAAAAAAAACAGGTTGACCTCTCCGTGGTTCTGAATTCCACGTGTATTCATCACCATGGGCTAACTGACCTGCCTTTTTATTTTCACATACCATCCCTCAATAGCGCTCCGCCAGCGTATACCGTTAGCGCAGGTGGGGTTGCCATTCCATTATCATTCATTAAAAAAAAAAGTAAATTCTTCTGTCTGTGATGTCGGTTACCATTTTAGGCTTGTTTGCGAATTTAATTAACATATAACAATTATACTATTTACATTTCAATAGTAGACACTAATTTATTACTAACGAAAGCTACAGTACTAGTCACCCAAATAGGCAGAGCCTGTATCTCAGTGGATAGTTAAATAACTTACTTTGACTTGAATTATAGCTGAGTGTCAATGATTAGCAAACATTTAATTATCTTTACAAATTTATAATATTAATAAATAAATGTCTGTGTTAGTCAGAAAATAAATTTTGTTATCATTTCTCTTTAAAACTATCATCTCATATGTTTAAACAGTTTTAAATGTGTATAACATCACATGATAATTTTATCAATTTAGTATAAACTTGAATGTAATCATTTTTATTGCCAATATGTTTTTAATATTATCACATAAAAAAGTTTAATTGATTGAAGTATAGATTTGGATAACCATCTACTCTCGGAGGAAAAGGGATTGTTAGTAATGGGAATTTGTAGCCCCATTGCTAACAATAAACCCTGCCAGGTCGACCTCCTCACCGTTCCCCTGGAAACAATCATGCTCAGTTCAAAGCGAATTTATCACGATGGGCTAACTGACTTGTTTTGCATCTTCATATATTATCACTCACTGGTGCTCAGCCAGTGTATACTATTAGTACAGGCCAAGGCTTACTATACTATTATCATCCATTAAAAAACATCTAATCTTAATAATCTCTAAGGTTGGGGGGAAAGGGATTGTTAGTAATGAAGACTGAGAATCCCATTGCTAGCAATATACCCAACCAGGTCGACCTCCTCGCGGTTCCCCCTGGAAACTATCATGGTTAATTCCTGATGAATTCATCATGATGGGCTAACTGTCCTGTTTTTATTCTCATCTATCACCCTTCACTGGTGCTCCGCCAACGTATCCCGTTAGCGCAGGCGGGGTTAGTATTCCATTTTCACCCATAAAAAAAACCATTAAGGTTAAAGAGGTCTTAAAAAGATGACATGCAATGAAAGGGAGTGAATGGTGAAATAACTAAATAGACATAGATAATTAACAGAGAACAGCACCTACATAAATATTATAAAAAATATTTACTCTAAAAGTATAAGCAGAGTCAAACTGGAGAGGCAGGGTGAAAAGTTCACAATTGGAAGAGGCGTAAGACAGGGAGATCCACTTTCTCCAAAACTTTTCATAGCAGTACTTAACAACATCTTTAAAAGTATCGATTGGAGCCATGAGGGTATATGGATACTGAACAAAAGACTAACACACTTATGTTTCGCAGATGATATAGTACTTTTTAGCGAATCGGTTAGCAACCTAGAAAAAATGCTACAAGAACTAGATTTAGAAAGTAAGAAAATTGGCCTAAATATGAATGCAACCAAAACAAAGATCATGACAAACCACAGCAAAAAATTTATCACAATAGAAGAGAACCCTATAGATTATGTGGAGTTATGTGTACCTAGGTAAAATGGTCTCTTTCGAAACGAACAGTGGAGAAAATGAAGTTGATAGAAGAATAAACATAACATGGAAGAAATATTGGGCTCAAAAAGAAATCCTTAAAGGGAACTACAGTCTCAACTTAAAAAAGATAATTATGGATTCCTGCATCCTTCCAAGCCTAACATATGCATGCCAAACATGGACCTATACAGAAAAAATAAAGAACAAAATCCTATCATGTCAGCATGCGATGGAAAGAAGTATCTTAAAGTTAAGAAAAATACAGAAAATAAAAACACTGATATTAGGAAGAAAACCAAAATAAAAGATGCTCTTCAGCATAGTATGAAACAGAAGTGGAGATGGGCAGGTCATATAGTGAGGTACAAAGATAAAAGGTGGACTCTCCAAACAACAAAATGGCGAGGTCCAGCAGGAAAAAGAAATGTTGGAAGACAAAGAAAGAGATGGGCAGATGACATAATAAAGATAGCAGGAAAGAACTGGACGGGTATTGCTATAGATAAGGAGAAGTGGAAAAAGATGGAGGAGGCTTTTACCCTTGGGGACCACGGAAGTGGTATAATAATAATAATAATAATTAACAGAGAAAAAACTATTTTTTATAAATGAGACTTCGGACCACATTGTATTTGTATCTAGTATTAAGATTATTAAAATCACTGTGTCATCTAAGTCTAAATAAAAATTAATTGTAAATACTGTTAATTATACCATCATTTAAGTCACATCTGTAATACACATAAGTAAACACAGATGTGACTTATAAAATAAAAAAGCTTATATTAATCTCACTTTCATGTATAATATAGTATATATCATATATGTGTAAGTATATTTGTTATTCATATATATTTATTCATTTATATATGTAGTTTTAGTATGTATGTATATTAATAATTACTAGTACCGCATTCAAGTATTCTGACACTTCCCTATGATTGATTGGGAGAGAATGCTTTTAGCATTAAGTCAGCCATGTACACATATTTGTACTAATGAATAAATAAATAAATTAATAAAATGGCGATGGACTGGGCACATCATGAGGTCATCAATAAATAAATGGACTCAAGATTTAATTGAGTGGTATCCGCATGATGGAAAAGAAACCGAGGTAAACCAACAAGAAGATGGGAGGATGATTTGCCCAAAGGCTGGAGACAAGCTGCAAGGAATCGTTACCAATGGAGAAATATGGAAGAGGCCTATGTTCTAGAACAACCTCAAAAACAAGATGTTGCTGATGTCAACATTAATTATTTATACATATTTACAATTTAAAAAAGAATCTGTAATTCAGGAATAAAGGCTATTTTTATTTATTTATTTATTATACCATCATTTTAGATTAAAACTTCATTTCACTCTTTCTAATCATATAAATTGAAGTGGCTAAAAAAATAAATTATACTATGTAGGTACACTTAATATTAACTTATTATCAAAGTATAAAAGTACCCACTTCAATTTATATGACACTATGTATCTAAATCTGTACATAAAAATATCTTTAAGCTAACATTATAATCCATCCTATTTACAACTCTTTTTTATACAACTTAGAATGGCAAACAAGCTGACAGCCCACCTGATGTAAAGTGGTAACCGTCGCCTATAGACATGAGCAGTACCATGGACATACCAGGGTACACTGTTTCGCCCATGATACACCCCATGTGTTGCCATTCCTGAGGACTCGGGTGTTATTCCTCTGTACCCAGTAAATTCACGCCATATCCCACCCTTCAAACCGAAACATAGCCATGCAAACACAACTGTTTCACAGTTCAAACACAAATTAATTTGATTGAAAATCCTCCATTAAATATTGAGGTCATTACATATTCAAGATAATATTGTATTGGCAAGAAGAAAATGCCCTCAACAACATGATAAATTATCATCATATAGGTATATATGAGAACAATTAAACAAGAAGTATTCATAATTAGAAATGGATTAACAATGAAATTTTTTATTACATGAAAAAACTTTTTTTTTTATAATGGTAACAGTTTGAGCTACATGACCATTTTTTTAATCTTATTATTGTTATAAATGCAAATATTTGTGGATGTAGGTGGATGTTTGCTTTTCTTTTATGCAAAAACTTATCAAATTGAATGAAGTTCAATACACAGGTTTAATATTAACTTTTAGATTTTTACACTGCATGTTTTATATTTTATAAGAGAACTAGCTTTTACCTATAACTTTGTTTGTGTAACTGTGATATGTTTACTGACTGGGATTTATATTTATTTATTTATTCTTTATTGCATAATAAAATTTTGTACAAATGGCGAGCCTAATGCCATATGGCATTCTCTACTCTACCAGCTAACCATTGGGTAAAAATCCCTTCCCATCCCATGTAGTATATGTATACCATATTTTATAGTAATTGGTGATGTGGTTAAAGCTATAAGGTAACAAAAAACAAACTCACTTTCACATTTATAATATTAGTAAGGATAAACATGGTCATTTAGGTAAACTATGATAATTTGCCTAAATTATTTCAATGTATTGACCAGGTTACACCAGTCATTGTCAATTATAAAACAGAGAGGTTTAGTGCTAACTTAGAATATAGGATGCTTTATATACTGGTATGGGCAACATTTCAGAAAAAAAGCTTTATATAAAGTTACATCTAATAATAATGTATATAGTATTAAAGAAAATAGAGATTAATTATATCAACAAGATAAGCTTAGAGGTTAATCTTTGACATTGTGTGTATAGGCTTATTGCCCTTGGGCAATGACATATATTTTACATTATGGCTTATGTTCCTAGACAATTAGTTCACCATAATGCAGGGTTGGCTATGTGAAGGCTAGTTTGTATGCATATTGAGTGGCATTATTTTCAAATAGAACAAATATGTGTTGTAGAAATCAGGTTATGAAAGTCTTTTTTTCAGTCAGTTAGTTCAAATTCGTATGACTCGGTGTAAAATATG